GCTACACTCCATCTTATCTCGTGTTACTTGTTAGCGCGACACGTATCGATGTCTGCGGCGTCACCAACAAATGGCCTACAGCTGCCGCCTACAATCTAGACTCAGCTCAAATTGATACTCGCATAAAAGAACTACGAGTATGCCATTGGAACTTTTTTATCGCCATAATCAACATATTTTAGCAATTCCGATTATTTAAATAATGTTTATTTACAAAGATATTTTTATAAAAAAAATATTATAATTTTTTATAAAAATATCTTTGTAAATAAACATTTATTTTTATATAAATTATTGATTAAGATATTTGCTAAGATATTTTAGATTTAATATTATGTAGATAATATAATAGCTTATAATTTAAGTATCTTTTTTAACTTTTTAAAGTATGTTTATATGTTTGTAAATTAAACTTATTCTCACAGATAATAAAATGAAAATGACAGACAAAATATCCTTTTGAACCTACAGACCTCCACATTACTTTTGTTATCGTTCGTCTCAATCGCATGTTTTTCATGAGATTCCTGTGGGAGGAAGTGTTCGGAATGTTAGAGAACATGAACGTTTATTGCGAGCGTAACTTAGGTCTAGAGGGAGACACTGAAAAAGAGCTTATCACTTAGAATATGACAAGAAATATATTTTATATTCGCCGTGGCTGTGCAAGAAAAACGATCATAAAGTGACTTAATTACGTGTTGGTTAATTATATAAAATTATATAAAATAATACAGTGTATGGAACATGATTATTATACTCTTTTTTTAAACTTTGTGTCTATTATTAATTATAAGTGAGTTATAATATTATATGTTTTGATTTGTATATTATTGCAATACTACTTTAAGATGTTCTTTAAATTCATTCTTTTGATTGTAAGTTTTCTAAATAAATATCAATAGGCATCAAGAGTGCCATCTAAGAGCTGAAGAAAACTTTAATATTTTTTATAATTTTTTTCTCATTTATATTTATATATTATTAATATTTCGATAATAATAAATTATAGTTCGAAAAATTACTTATTATAAGTTCTTTTTGTTGAATACATAAGTGACATCTCGTCTCACGTATTCCTTTAACCTCTTTTTATTTTAACGTCTTCAATATTTAATGTTTTCCTTACCAGTTGCCAGCAATCCATCACTCGGGTAAGTTACTATTAAACGCACCCCAAGGGTTTTGTCATCTTGTTTCCGTAAATCATTGTCATAACAACCCAATGCCTTGACGAAATATATTTTTACATTGCTTTTGACGAAGATGTTTTATTTATAAAATATGCTTCGTTCGTTACACGAGTTTGCTTTACTATAATTATTATTGCATCATTTTTTTATTTTTTTTTAAATGACTTGATACTCTATGTATAGTTAGCAAAATCGAACTCCAAAAACTATTAATTAACACTATGACTAACTGAGGACGAATTAACTGTTCTATGAGATTTCATGTAAAAATAGGTAGGTATGTACTTGTATATAAAATATAATATTTTTTTTACCAAAATTGATTCTAGTGACGGCAGAATTAAAAAATACAATATTGGCAAACAGTTATTTTCTTTTAAAATAGCTTCCTTGCTTTCATGGAACGCAATCAGGACCTGTCGAAATGTCTATACGATGGTGTAACATGGAACGGACGCGTAAGCTTCAATTTTCTTTTTCCAACGCCTCTCCCATATCGCTTGTATCAGTATACGTGAATTCAATTACGCGTCTATTCTTTTTAAACTCGAGCTATAAATCCCGTTTTTAGACTAAAATCACATGTCAAACAGCCGAATGTTTGTTTTTAATCTACCTATATTGTGAAACAGATCTTTCATCAATTTTACTATTATAAATCGAGATTACTTTTTATATGATTATTATATTGGTTTATTGAAAAAAAATTATTAAAAAATGTAATAAATTCTAAAAATATCGTAGGTACCCTACTTGTTATCAATATTTAGTGTAGTAGGTACCTACTACCTACATATAAAATTTCTTTCAATCCATACAAACATCCATCTAAATAAAAATAAAAAAAAATAATAAAAATAAAAAAAATAATAAAATAAAAAAAAATAAAAAATCTAAATAAAAATAAAAATCTATCCATACAAACATCCATCTAAACTTTCACATTTATAATATTAGTAAGATTGTTCAAAATTGTTTGCAGATAATGCATATTTCTCTTTCATATTGTGATTTTTTTTACGTTGTCCTAATCTTATATTAGTAAAAAATTATGTAAGCGTTCATTTGTGCAAAACACAAATTTCCCGTAATTCTTCACTGATTGCTTTCAAACTTCATCAAACAACTGTATTTACATGAAGGTAGCAAAATGAATAGCTATATGCTAACGCCAATAAACGTGCGCTGTAGCACATCAACTTCTACACCGTTCGATGGAACGCCATGTAAGTAAATTGGTATGCATGGGTATTTGAGTACCGAGAGTATTTTTGTTGTGTCCGTTTCTGCGAGCGCACCTTTTTATTTATGGTTTTTTTATCCATTTTGCCATCAACTTGATTTTCAAACATATAATAAAATCTTAACTAAGCCGAATCTGTGCATTAGATATTATTTGGAAAATCTTATTGAAATAAACATTATTATCGATACCTACAGAGGCCGAATTTATAGTTTTTAGAATTTTTGTCTGTCTGTCTGTTACCGCATCACAGAAAAACCACTGGAGGGATTTTGATGAAATTTGGTATGGTGATAGTTGGTTATCCGGGTCAACATATAAGATACTTTGTACCGCGGGAAAATGTCTCATTTCTGAGAAAAAATACAAAAACTGCAATGTAAGAGTATACTTATATGTAAAACCTAAGTACCTATTTGATTTTTGGTCATCTGAACGCGGACGGAGCCGCGGGCTATGCTAGTCTTATCTATCTTACATAGAGATTTGAAAACTGCAATTTTGTAAACTAAAAAAATGTAGGTTGATACTTAAATAGTAAAAACGAAATAATTATAATTTAAGCACTTCATTGACCATCTGACTGCTATCCTTTAAATTTGTCCGTGAATTTAAAGGGCAATAGAGTAGTCCTTAATTATTAATTAATTATTGGTCGATGTCGGATGCAGGAGAAGGACAATGGCCGCCCTTTCGTTAAACTACACGCTCTTTGTTACGATGGTCGGAAAGACTTGGGCAATGATTAATGTTAAGTGGAATGTGCTTGACTGTTTTAAAGCAGCCGCTATTTGGGTATAAAGGGTCCATTGATTTCATATAATATATTGAATTTATTCTTATCCACTCAAACTTAAGGAAAACTATAGGCACTAGTTAAGATTTCCGTCTTATAGTGTCTATAATTTGAGTAAGTAGATTTTAGAGTTCTTTTCCTTTAGATTTATAAGGTTGTTCTCTAATACAGATACTTAAGTCAAATTGAAATTCTGTACTTAAATAAGAGAGCGACTTTAGCCTACTAGACTCGAGCCGGCTTAAACTTAGACTAAGCCATTGCTAGCAAATCAGGTCTGGATGCAATTTCATGGTATCCATCATATTATAAGTAAGATTCCACAACATGTTTATGAAATCTCATAACTGAATTCAAAATACCACTTATAATTGACTTCACATCACGACACGCATTTCACAGTTCAGTTAACTACGTAATGCGTGCCCAAACTTACTCAATGGAAACGGGAATCCAATAAAAAAACCTGTCAAATCCAACAGGCCAGGTGCGGTACAAATCCGTAATCTCCACTCTCTCATAGATATCTGTAGTTTGATCTGCATACCTATTTAAAAGTTTAACATTTAGTATTAGGTAATTTATTTAAATACCTAATTTCTCATAGTTTGTTGATAGATAAGTTATTTGATTTAATAAAGTTGATCAAATAAGAAGAAATAAAATTTAAATCGATAAATAGATTTCGATGAAAAACAAGAATATAAAGTAAACTAGCATTGACCGCGGCCACTGCCCGCGTTCAGATAACCAAAAATGAAATTCTTAGGTTTTACATAATAGTATACTCTTATATTGCAGTTTTTGTATTTTTTCTCAGAAATGAGACATTTCCCTGCAGTAAAAAGTATCCTATTATGTTGATCCTTATAACACACCTACTACGAATCTAAAAAAACCTTTATCTTTTGACGAAAGGCTTTCCGCTTTATAATCCATGGAGGAATGAACAAGTTGAACACCTTAATGCCAATCTAGGGCAAAATGACCGACTTGCTTTGGAAACGAAGGGCCTATAATAGGAGACTATTAACACAAACATTACAATATAATAGTATATCCTTATTGTGCACGGCAACGAATGAAACGCCCCATAAACGTATGGACGTGTCTCATCCAAGATCATCTGGAGCCAATTTTTAACAACACGGTTAAGCTTAAAGTCAGGCAAAAAGTTTTTGAAAAAACATTCGACAACATCGAAATTCGACTCTTACATAGAAAAGATATAATTTAATTCAAAATTATTTCGAATTAGAATTAGATTTTCGTAGTCTTTCTAATAAATATTATATAAGATGAACAAGTTTACATTACCTATAAACAATAATCTAAAGTATTGTGAAACTATTGTGAACAGTGTCATTGTATTGAAATGAAAAATCACGAAGAACTTAATATATCTATTTAGGGCAAATGTGGAAGTTCAAGTTGGTTAAAAAATAATACTACTAGAAAATGGAACGGTCCATATTTTGTAATGACATTAACGTTCCGTTTTAAGTTTCAACTTTCATCAATAAAAAAGAATACAGATTATAGAAATACTCTTGTTAGTTCTGTGAAGAATACCGAATATGTCAAAATTGAAAATTACGATTTACGAGTACACACCGGTGACCGGGCATTGTTTCGTAAAATGATTAACGTGAAAACGTTTATGTTTAAAGTTTAATTAAATATAATTTGACTGTGATTTAAAGTAGTGATTATGGTTAATCTATTATTTTAAGTTATTATCATATACAGTTTATTATTATAATTAAAAATGGAGCACATTAGGCAATTTGATTGGTGAGGTTTTTCTACTTACATGATTTTTATTGTAATTTTATATGTAGTGAAATACTTTCTCTAATAACAAAAAATATAACTCATTTTAAATACATATTCTTTTCACATACGCTATTTGTGCAATTCATTCAATTTTATTATAGTCCTTATGTCCTGTTTTTATTTTAGACAAATTGTTTATATTGAAATATTGAATAATGATAACATTACTGTCCATCGGATTATAATTGTAAGTTCTAAATTTCAGGTGTTACTCTCAGCCAGATGTATATTTTTTAAAAGAAAGTGACTTGGATAATAGTGTGACGGAAAAAATTCTTCGCAACAAATTTCACAATCCCATGGTCTCAAGTGAGTCTGAAGATGAACAGCAAAACATTAACTGGGCTGAAGTCTTTTCTAAAAAAGAAGATGTAATTATTAATCTTAATTATTACTGATTTTATTATAGAAAAAGTAAAAGAAAAATATATATATATAATATTTATTTTTTGTCAGTTTTCTAGAAATAACCGTGTATTTGTACCATGTATGCCAAAGTTTATGCAATATCCAAAATTATCAGCACTCACTTCATATCAACACTTCCAATGTATCAAAGTACTATGTTCGGAAAACCCTCATATTTTACCTGAAGAGTTTATGCAAAGACCTACTAAAAATGACTACAAGGTGTTTGAGGTATTATATCATTTTTGATCAATCTTATTAAAAAATCTTTGGATAAACAATTAACTTTGCAAATATTATATTTAATTTTCAGGAACTTAAACCAATATATGAAAAAGAGCAAAAAGAGTTCATAGAATGGGCTAAAACTCAATGGACAACAATACACTGCATACGAGCATTACGACCCAAACCCCCAATAGAATTTGTTTATGATGCTAGATTCAAAATGAGGGAAAATGAAATGCAATCATACCCAAAAATGTTTGACATGGCGGCACAAATACCTTTAGAAACAAGAAATAATAACTTTGACTTGGTTCTCAGCAGTGATTTAAAAAGTGTAAGTGGTTTTTTATAGTTACTTTAACATTTATGATATAAGCAATATTTTTAGGGTTCTTTTATTCAATTATTTATATTACAGGTGGATATTAAGTTACTCCCACAAATTGAATGCAGGAACATAACCAAAAAGCTCACCATTATGAAGCAATGTGCTATGCCCGAGCCTTGCAATAAACACCCATGCAGATTTATACTGCCTAGTAAGTTATTTACTCATTTTAATTAATAAATAAGCATTAACTTTATTCAGTAAAAATTTATTTTATAATTTTAATTTTTTGTTTTGACTTCATGTTATTTTTTTTTTGGTACAACTACTAAAAAGTTAAGCATTATTTTTTGTATATATTTCTGTATATAAAGCATGCTTAACCTTAGAATGTATGTAGATAAAAGATGGGGTATGTCACTGACCCTTAAACTATATCAATTAGATGATATATGAAGTTGTAGTGTTGACATTAAGACAAACACGTACGAGTAGTATAACTATTAGTATTCAGCTTTTTTAATATCCAAATATGACAAAAAGTACTTCCACCACACTACCCAAAAGTAGATTGCCTTCAGAACTGTCTTAAATTAATTAGGTACTCTCAAACATATATTTCCTGATGATATATTTCTTCAACTTGAGAGCAAGTACTAATAATATGCATATTAAAAGGTTTTGAACCTATTCCATTCTGATTCCTTAAAGCAAATTATATTTTAATTTGTCTAAACAAAACTACTAACATATTGTTTCAAAAGCTTTCTGTACAGATTTGTTATATTGTTCTTAGATTGTTACAACATTATTTATCCTTGTGTTTAAGATGAAAAAGCAGTATCAATCTTGCCACTAATAGAAATTCAAAGAGAGCTAGCACAGTTCACTTTGGACAATGATGCACAGTACATCGCTAGTGAAAACTCGCTCAAATGTTTAATGGAATTAGACAGGTGTTGGGATATCACTGTGTCTGTCGTGCCTGTCATTGGTCCTGGTAAGAGAATAATATATTATGAATAGATACAAACAACAAATATACAAACACATATGATTGCAAAAAATGTTAAATAGGTTAAAAACATAGTAGATTGTCAAAAAATGTAAATGTCAACATATTATTGATTTTTTTAACACAATATGCAAATTTATTTTTAATAATTTTCTTGGCTAAAATTCGAGATTGTATGTAGATTCAAAAAGATTACCTTCAAACTTACAACTTGTTTACAACGTTGAAATAAACCACTTTATCAGTATTAAACCAGCTACCTCCAGCACTGAAACTATAAATATTTTAAAACATAAAATTTATGTATTTGTGTGATAACTAACAGATGGTGAATCAACAAACGTAGTGGTGTTGGGAGATGAGTTTTGCATCAACAGGGAATCTCCCGTCATGAGAACTTACAAAGCATTTAAACATTTGTTAGAACATACTCTTGTACCGTAAGTTGATATTTTTTACTTTGGTTTGTTTTTTCATTTAATAGCTTTGCCATGGGAGGATATACACTATCCTATAAAATGACTTTTAAATATTTATATAAAAAAGTTTAAATCTTTTATTGCTTAAATTGACTTGTGATATATTAACTAGCTTGGTTTTTTTCTTTTTTTTAAAGAATTAATCTTATATTTATTTAATTTTTTTCTATATTTCCATTATTTATTTTTAGGCCATCAGAAAGGTCCAAATTACAATATAAGGATCTAAATGATAATGTAAATGAAGAATTACACAAAAATGTTTTAGCTGAAGACACAGTTTTGTCCTCCGATGATGAAGATGCTGATAATTTGTGTATAGTTGGTATGTAAATTAGTACACATAGTTACTTCAATCAATTTCATTAAATAAGTGAAACAACACGTAACTATTTTATTTATACCATTGACTACATTTAAATTTTTTATGCTGTATTTTACACCATAAATAAAACACTCGGGACTTAAGTAGGTTTGAACTCAAGACCTCTGAATCTATGGCATATATGCTAACCACTAGAACAAAGAGGCAGTCACGCTACTATAGTTTCAGACGATCGGAAAATATCCAATGAGTTATAAATAAAAATAATGTCTAAAATCATTTATAAAATATCTAAAAAATCGTACTTATAGTATATGTCATATGGTAGATAGGCAAATACTACATTATAAGCCTATTTTGACATTTTGAATAAAATTTTTTTTCCAATAAAACTATTTTATCCCACACCGATTATGTAAGATGTCTGAATACTTACCACCCAGCATTTTTCTTATAGAAATTTGGATATTTCTAAATTTTAAGAACTGCTTCTTGAATCATCATCATAGCTTAGTCTTTCCCGTAACCATGTGTGCTGTGAAGCATTAGAAACGTTGAAATATTTCAAAAGAAAAATAAAATGGTGACACAATATGAAAAAAAGAGCTTTTTTTTATGAAAAATAAAATATTTTTGAATTTTTCGAAATACTTATTTTTTTAATGTTTTTTTTTATATTCCTTAGAAGATTCTGAAATGGCGGAAGATATGGAAGCTACAAAAGATGAGAAGAAAGAAGGGAACAAAGAAAAGACAAATAATGTAGCTAACAAGTCAAATGAGGATGACCAAATTGGCTTTTACAGTTGCACTTGTAAAGGTAATATAATTTTTCGATTTAATATGCCATTTTGGTTTTAAACAATGAGTAATAAAAGTATACACCATTTTCTTTTCCTCTCTTACTTGTATTTTTTTTTATTTATCGTGATTTGTTTATCATATTACTTTCTTGTATTCTTTATTTCTTACACAAAAAACAAAATCCTTTACAAAAAAGGTTTGTTTTTATTATAAAAATTAAAAAAACACATAGTGTGAATTATGACAAATTTATTTTTTGTATATAATTTATCATTTAAAAAGGCATAGCTAAGTTTTTTAATTAATTCTTGTTATAAATATATATTTTTTTAATTTATCAGATACAATGTTTGAGAGACCGCCTCCGAGATCGTTCCAGAGGTGGCAAGTGAGAAACAAAACAACTGGCGAACACTTCAACATTGTTGTTCACTCTCCGCATAAAGTCAGGGTGAGTTATATTCTTTTGTGAATTCTTTTTCCATTGAAAATTTCTAATTTTTATTATAATGCTTAAGAATACTACTAATATATATAATAATTTATATTTGTGTAGAAATTTTTATATATATATTTTACAACCTTTTGCTTTCAATCTTTTACGTACACTTAAAATATAAGTATTACAAAAGTAATGGATTTTTTTTATAGTTACTCACATATTATTGTTAAGTGGAAGAAAAAACTAGTAAAAATGGGTAAATGCGTAGGTAATTCTTGAAAATAGAACAGATATTTCTTTATTATTTTCGTTTAATTCTTGTCTTATTAACAACAACAACTCAAAGACACTAGATACACAATTAGCGTCTTCGAAAAGAACCAAACAATTCGATATTGCGTGCTTTTTTAATATCTATTTTGTTTATTGCTTTTTGGATGACTAAATTAAAACGCCCGTTGTTTCGTTTAAAATTTGTTATGACAATTTTAAATCCTTTTTAATAATATCTTATTAAATTAATAATTCTTCTAGGATAAAAGGGGTGAAGTGCTGTTAGAACCCATCCCAGAATATCAGATCGAGCTAGGCGCGAGTGCACAGTCCAAGGAGAAGATACAGAGTCTCGCGTTGTCGTTGATGTTGAGGAAAAATGCAACTTTGATTAACGGTAAATAGGTTTATATATTTTCCTTTAACTAAAGGAAAGAAATATCTAATAATCTATAAATATGAGATCTACAAATATTTTTTTTTTTTGATTTTTTTATATAAATTATTATTTCTTTGGTTTATGGTAATTGCAATTATTTAATAAGAATTTTGAAATTCTGAGGTATTTATATGCTTGACACCTGTAATAACTATGAGTTTTCAACGTCAAACGCCTTAGTCTCTCCCATGACCATGTTCTAACAGTCCAATGGTTCTTTTTTGTTCCACCAGACTGTGCATGTTGTTTTTGCACTATAATATCTTCTGCAGTTGCCTAGTCGTGGCCAAAATCGATCAAGAAGATAATAATATAGTATAATATATTTTTTGTAACAGTGCGTGTAGATGGCGCCACCGGAGAAGTAGCGACCTTCGAGAATATGAATAGTGAAGAATTCAAAGCGAAACATGGAGATTTGACAAACGAAATAAGCAACACCCTTCACACAGCCTTCAATCAGCTGCAAGGGCTGTTGCCTGGCAACTATATACTACGGCACGAGGTCAGAAGTTATTTTAAAATATAATATGTATAATCGAACGAAATATTGAATAATATACTATTATCTATGTAGTATGTATTGTCTTATTTTTAATATAATAACTTAAACTAGATGGCAGTTTAGTCCAGCGTCTATATTCAAATATGAATGGTCTTAATTTTAATTAAATTCAATACCATTAAAGCTTTAATACAATTAAATTTCAAACAGTTCTATGAAAATTAAGTATTTTTGTCATTTTTTCCAGCCAAATCACGGCCACAACGCTATACTATATGTATCAAAACCTTCAGTCAAGTCCTCTTTGGTACTAGAATTTGACTCGACACAACTCGCAGAAGTGGACGAAGCAAAGAACTTGAAGACTCCACCCGTTATAATACCAGTGTTGTTGCCGTATCATAAGTAAGTAGAACTCCTTTGATTTTTTTAACGCATTTGGTTTTGGCATACCCAAAAACTAAATTCTGTTGTAAAGAGTGATGAAAGGCATGTCTCAACCTGTATTATAGATTTGAAATCTCGACATCAATCCCTTTCTCCGTTCTGAATGACCAAATAAACATGAAAAGTGATATAAGCAAAAAAAAATAATTCGATTTTTCGACAACCCTTGTTTGCTTTCAAATTCAGCATTTGTATTAAAATTAATTACCAATCACCTACTATATTATGGATTTTTATACCGTACCTATATATGACGCAGGTAAATTGTAAAATCTGTGAAATTATAAAATTATAATGAAATATAATTTCATTAGTAATATCACTGAAAGTGCTTAGTGATATTATAATATGCCTAAAATTATTGTCCCGTGATATTATAAGAAACTAGCGACTTACCGTCGCTCCGGTCGGGTTCGTCACTAGTTACGTTTTAGCGGTTAGTATAGATTTCTCAGAGATGAGATATTTTCCCGCAGTAAAAATTATCCTAAATGTTGACCCGGATAACCAGATATAGATTCGGCCTCTTTATCAATAATAATGACTATTTTATTATATGTATAGATTATAATTTACGGGTTTTACATTTCCCTGCGACTTTTACAAGACTAGCGACTCGCTTCGCTCGGATTCGTCATTCCCATACAAACTTTCATCCCCATTTTCATCCCCTTAAGGGATGGTTTCCGGGATAAAGAGTATCCTATGTCCTTCCCAGGGTCTAAAACTATCCGCTTACCAAGTTTTATCTAAATCGGTTCAGTAGATCCAGAGATTACCCCCTACAACGTGACAAACTCACAAACTTTACCTCTTTATAATATTAGTATAGATACAAACTAAGGAATATTTGACATGGTTTTCCCACAATGCCAGGTTGAAGAGGATGTTGCCGTGCGCCTTCACGCCGCACGAGCGGCAGCTGGCGCGCTCGCCGCGCCGCGCGCCGCGCCGCCAGCGCACGCCGCCGCGCGCGCTGCAGGTACGCCTTGTTGTTATAGGAATAGAGGCGCTTTTTGAATGTATTTTGTGTAACGTTGTTCTACGTGTTAGACGACACGTTTGGTTCAGTTTGTAGTGACCTTACTTACTGCGCCAGCGGTCACGGGTTCGAGTCCCGCTGGGGGCATTCATTTGTGTGATGAGCACGAATGTTTGTACTCCAGTTATATTTATAATATGTATTTAAAAGTTATATATGTGTAGTGTATCATCTACCTGGTATCCATAACACGAGCCGTAGCTTAACATGGAACTAGACGGTGCTGTGCGATAATGTCCCAACATATTTATTTATTCATTTATATAACAATCATCTGTTGAGGGAATATAGCTTGGCCCTAATGCATAATAAAATGGGCCGATTTTCGCGTAAACTTCGTTATGTATAGCAATCATCTGTTGAGAAAATGTATAACCGCCTTTATGCATAAAATAATAGGGTCGATTTTCGCGTGAATTTCTTGTGTTGCTTCGTTATGTATAGCGATTATCCGTTGAAGGAACGTATCAACGCCTTTATGCTATACATATTAGGGTTGGTTTCTGTATGACTACCTTTTGTGATAGGTTAGTAATGTATAGCAATCGCCGCCATCAATTAGTATAAAATAATATTGTCGGTTTGTTGTAAACTAATGGGGTTGGTTTTTCCATGGCTATCATCTGTAATATTTTTTTAGTAAGAGTCGTTCATTGGAGTACCCTACCGCCTTTATATCTAAACAGATAGATACGATTTTTGTATGACTTTCTTCTATGATGACTTACTAATAGCAATCATCTACTGAGAAAACATATCGCCGATTATTTAATTTTTTGTTTCAAAAGTTTTTTTTTTAACCGTAACAGTGTAAAACACGCTCACTCACAAACTTCAGCATTTCATCGTCTCAATGCTTATTTGTCCAAACGACCAATTCACCGAACACCGACAGCCAAAAAGCGACATGGTGAAATTAGCTGCATTCCTTTTACGAACAGAGAGTTGTGACATACGGGATGAAACCTTTAGCTATTTTTGTTCTGTTACGCCAAAGGAATTAAAAGGTATAAGGAAGGATTAAACATTTGGTTATCTTCAAAGTATTTAAAGTTCTTCTCACAGAATGGCCTCTTTTTTTATTATGTTTACTATGAATTTTATGTATTTTTAAGTACATACATATATGGTTAGTTGATAATGATGGTTCGAGTCTTGTGGAATTTTGCTTGTTTTGTGATTAATTTTGTGGTTGGGCTACATTTTAATATTTTTTTTTCACTTCTTAATATTTTTATTGTCGGCCATAATCAGGAGAAGAAAGCGATATATTACAACCTATTTTTATTAATTTTCATTATGAAGATTTAAAAAATCGTTTATTTACTCTGTTAACTTCAAACACTTCACATACATAAAGGAATTAAAAGCGAAGGAAAGACAGTGATTTGATATGTAATTAATAATGTAATTAGTCTTATACTTTCTTAGATTCACGCGAACTGAAAACATTTTTTTGGATAATTTTTTTCGGTTGTATTTACTTTTTGATTCCTAACGTTTCAAAGGCTTTTTAAGCACGAGGGACTAAGGTTTTTGACTACGAAAATATCCACTAAAATTAAAAGTCCATACATATTTTCGCAGTACATTATTATGTAGATATAAGAGTAGAGGGTGAGCCACACAATCTCTGCATATAATTTTCATTTCAAACTTCATTTATGTGTTGTGACTATATTTTTTTAAAACATTATCTTAGCTGTATCTTAATATGTCTTAGTAAGTTATTAATTTAATTGGTTTTTGAAAGTACTTCAAGGTCCATGAAAATTATTTGTCATATTTTTTACATATTTATTTATTTTAGCACTGTTCCTATTAAACACAAACAAAACGCGTAAAAAATTTTTTTTTATGTCAAGCAGAGTGTTATTTATCATATATTGTCATCAGACTTGGGTTTTCTTAATAATTATATCGAATCTATTACAATTGTTAAATATATTTGTCTGTTTGTCTCTATTAAATCATATTAGTATATTCATAAGAAATGTAGTTGCTTTGTTTGATTATATTATTGTATTCTCAGTAATTGATAATAATTCCAGTAATTGGCATTAAATGCAATTATATATATAATTTAAATCTAATAATATTGCAAATTGATAATGATAAATATTAAACAGTTTTTTTTTAGATTTTGCGGTACTTTAGACACCCCATTTTTTTTGTTTGTCTGTCTGTATGCGCGTATTACAAAAGAACTACTCAACGGTTTTTTAAATTTCACTTAAAATATCATAATGTTAAGTAAATTTAAAACAGATTGACCTTTCCGTGTTGTCGGATTTCATATGAAGGCAAATATACGCGCGAAACCGCAGGCATACGCTATTTATTATACTTATGTATATAAATAATATAAATCTGATTGTCCGATTGTTTGTCTGTATGTCACATACCTATAAAATGGTAAGTCAATTTTTCTATGTTACCTCGTATTCACTTTCAATGGAAGAGAATATAACATAATGAAGTACTTATATACATATATATAATGTACAATCGAGTGCGATTTGTATGTTCTGTTTGTTAGTTGGAGAGTGAAGCGGAGTCGGGCGGCGCGCAGGGCAAGGTCGGGGAATCCCACGCTACCGCCTTTTATACTTGTCTCAATGTTACAAGTGCTGACGTAACGTATAGTAATTAGGGCTTCAACTGCGTATACTTAGTACTGGAAGTGAGGAAATACCCTTAAATGTAGGTTGCCAATGCAAAGTGGCCTTAGATAAGTAGCGTTTTAAATATTTATTTGTTTCTTCATTTTCGGTATTATTAATACATCGATTTAACAATTTACTAATTGTTATTTTCACAAACATTTGTACTACTATGTTATTACTCGTAGAATAGAAAACGAAAAAAGAGTATAAATAGTTAATTTATGAAGAATATATATTTAAAGAATGTCGATATAATATTTTCTTAGATTCACGCGAATATTTTATTTTAAATAATAATATTTTATTATCGTTTCGGATTTTTTCGCGGATTGTTTTTGCGGAATTTTATTTTCGTGATTAAATACTTTATTCTTTCTTATAATTTAATTGAAATCAATAATTAATATTAAAAAAAATATTAGGCCATTTTTGCGTCGACGACCTACTTTACTAACCTCCACCTAGTATTGGGATAAAAAAGACAAAAACCGCGGGCTTATGCTAGATTTAAACGATATAGGAACGTTAGATGAAGCCCTAATAAATTTATAATTATTTATCTTAAAAACATCGTTTAACTGATCTATCTGTACACACAATCAATGATAACTGAACTGATTGCCTTAAAAGCTGCTGAACCCTACTTGAAAACTACTGAACCATTCATATATATATATTACACATACAATTTTATATTAAAACCTTAAAAAAATATGTAACTAGGTTCCAGAAAATAACACTTTCTGCATAGCTTCATTCAAAAAACAATTTTATAATGCTTTTAGTTACATGGCAATGAGGGGTTATAATATATATAATAGTAATATATAAACAGCATTGAAATATAGAGACAATACTTTTTAGAATGTAGGTCTGTATGTCGTAGTTTATTTAAAACAATTTTTAATTATTATTATATTTCGTAGACTTTATATAACTCGTTATTTAATCTTGTATTAAGCATATATCTAATACTGCTATATTGTTAGCGTCCATAGCTAGATGGTATTGAGCGAGTGAGACGGCAAATATTGTTTCTATCTCTTTCCACTCGAGCCGACAGCCTTGGTGCTTATTTGTTCAAACTACCTATACTTGTTGTACCTACTTTATTATAATTTTTTCCTCTATAAGATTATTTACATGGACCTATATATAAAATACATTTATTTATTATTTATTAAAGTATTTATTTATATATTATTGGCTTTATTAAAGTGAAATGTGTATTTTATATTAATAGAATTGACATTTAAAAGTCAATAATTCTGTTAAAAAGTCGTTCGTTAAACTTTCGTTAAATTGGTCGTTTGAACAAATAAGCACTGAAACGATAAATAAATTGTAAAAGTCCTCAATTTTTGGGCATGCGCAAAAGAAACTATTTTGTAACATAATGTGCAGGCTCGACATCGCAGCGGTTTCTTTATTAAAGGACTAAAACTTTTGTAGTATTAGATATATGGTCTTAAGATCGCTGGTTCGATTCCCGCACAAAGCAATTAAGTAGGTACTGCGGTGGAGATGGTCGTTTTTTTTTAATATTAAAAAACTTAAAATAGCAAGATGATCGTTTGTTTTTATAAAATTATTAGTTTTGTTTTCAATTATAGTTAATTAAAAAAAATGAGAACATATTATACTAAATGCATTAAATAATTTTCTGTTGACTGTAAATTTGTTTGTACTAAATAAGACCTAACCCGAATGTATGTAATACAGTGATGAACAATGGTGAGATCAAGAATAAGTGTTATATAGAAAAATAATTTTCCATTAATATTTTGTTGCAGTGGCCGAAAAGGAAAAAGAAGAAGAAAAAGAATTAAAGAATGAAATAAAACAACACTTAATAATTACAATTTGTTTTATTCAACATGTATATGTAATAAGCACCTATTTGCTAGAAATAATAATAATAGTAAAAAATAAATAATCTTTTTTAATACTATAATAACATAATTGTGAACGATAATTTTTAAACATTTCAAGCCGCTTCATCAAAATATCCGTCGAGCTGTGCTGCTATCTGGAATTAAAAAAAATCATACTTTATAAATGTGAGAGTGTGTTTGTTTGTTTGTTCTTCTTTCACGACGAAACAAGAATGACAGATTGGCCTGATTTTTTTGTGTGGAGAGTTAGAGGGCTGGCACGTGGTGTCCGAGGTACGAATTAAACATCGTCAACTTCCCAATTTCGGGCTGTTATTGAGGATTTTTTGACAGAAAGACTAACTAAACTAGGCCCGACCCGAAACTCGAACCCAGGACCTCTGGATTTGCGACTGTATATGCAAGCCATTAGACCACCAAGGCAGGAGGGCAAAAATATGGACCTATCTATATTTCTTCCTATACATAATATCTTCTTTTTCTGCCTGCCTGACATCAACCCTCCTTGGGAATGCTATTGTTTATCTTGTATTATGCACATTCGATATTGTTTTATTTTAAAACATTTTTTTTATAGTATTACACAAAGTTTTAATGTAAGTTTCGGACATATTTTGAACACATAATAAATTTTGTTTCGACGTTGTCAAGAAACGTCGTTTTAAAATAATTGTATACATAAATCGATACTATAAATAAATATCGATAGTCGATACGATATATAAGTGTGACGGGCGGGCACCTGCAGCGGCGCGTACTTGAGGTACTTGTCGGGGTGCTTGGCGAAGGGCGCGGCGGCGGCGGCGGCGTGCAGCGCGGTGTAGCGCGGCAGCAGCGCCTGCTTGTTGGCGCGCTTCAGCTCCTCGCGCAGCTCGGCGTCGGGCACGCTGTACGAGCGCTGCGCGCGCGTCGCCTCCTCCCACTCGCGGTTGAACGCCTGCACCGACACTAGTATATTGTAGCGGCGCGGGGGCCTAGATGCAGTTATGTGCCGTTCGCGATTGACAGAATCGAACGATCGGGTCGCCACGAAAACCACGATTCGTTCTCGTTCATTCGATCGAATTCACAACTGAATGTCTCGATTTTTTCGATTGGACGAGCGCGAAAAAATGCATAATGAAAGTTTCTAAATATGAACCAATGAACTTGTAATTATGAACCAATAATATTACTTTTTAGATAAACTTATTTGAATCAATCTTTTTCTAAATTATTTAACTGATCTTGGTGAATCGTGCGCGCTAGTTAACGTAAATATTTTGATTTTAAATTGCCTGCTTGCTTTCGGTTATCCATGATGATGGTAGAACAGTACCTACGCTTTTATTATTTTTTAACTTAGCACGGTTTTTGTTCAATTTTCAAATTATAACAACTCATGAGTGAATCAAGTAACTATCTGCTCGGATTTATTAGCTCGGCGATCACGTCGTCAATCAATTGAACGGGTCGTACGAACCGAGCCGTTTTCTAAACAGATCACTATTGATCTAGATCTTTTAAATTGAACGATTGACACAAACTTAAGTAGATGGTGTTTACGTGAGCAATATTTTTTTATTTAAAATATTTAATTGTAATAAATAATACCGCCATATATTGGTCACAAATGTTAAACACACAAGTGACCACCAATATAGATTATGCAACAAACTATAACATATTTTTAATACAAAGCTTACATTTCACATTTATAGTAGACAAATAATAGTTATTGTAAAGTTCGTTATCTTGTCTTCCTTCCATTTGACTCTCAAATCAAAACAATTCAAATTATCATCCCAACATCCCACACTATGTTTCAAACGATACGACCATTACAAATAAGTTCAAATCAATTTTTAAAATTTATAACATAGCTTTTAGTTTCTTTACAATGATGTCAATAAAGGCATAGTAAAATTCAAACCCACAGAGAGCTTATCCTTCAACATCTGCCTGTCCTTGTCGCGCAGCTTGGCGGGCAGCGCCTCGTCCAGCACCAGGTGCGACAGAATCTTGTTCCAACTGGAAGAACACAAATTATTATATTCATCGCACAATATCTATACCAATATAATCAATGTAAAAGTGTGTTTATGTTATATAACAACAAGTAATGCCAACCAACCTCTGCAAATACGCGTTCTTGTAGTCCTGTATCATGTCGCGGTAGTTCTTCTCGCAGTCGGGCTCCGCCAGCGACAGCACGTCCAGCAGCGCGCCGCGCTGGAGGCCCTGCGCGGACATATACACTAACATCATTTTTAACTAAAAAACATACATCGACTTCCAAATCTCTTAAAAATTCTACCCTTTATGGCGAAATGGTTTCATGAAATTTATATTATTTAAAAATACAACTACAATTTAGCATGAAAATCAGCTTCGTCTTAGTAAAAATTCTTGTTTTGCCTTTCGGCTACGAAATCAATAAAACATTCCGAGGGCCTAAATTATTGGCATCTAATCTAGAAACAGAAGTATCAATAAATCTGTTTTAGAAAAAGATTGCTCATCTTTTTTTTAAATGATAAAGAAATTTTAGAAATTATAAGGCAGGTCGGAGATATGCATATGACATTGATTGAGATATGCATGATGACATTTTAGCTCTAATTTCATGCATATATGTTTCAGCGTGAATGAGTAACAAACACACGTACATACAAACATTTACATATGTAATAGCTGTCACGATACTCACCTGTAACAAATAGAGCGTGTTATTGAGGAGGAATATCGCCTTGAGCGCGTCCGGGTACTGCTCGCTCTTGTTGCGCAGCGTCAGGTTCAGCTGCGCCAGCACCTTGCCTGAGAGGATATAATATAATAATATGTTAGGACATTAACACACAGCACCATCTAGTTCCATGATAGGCTACGAGGCTTGAGTTATGGATACCAGATAGTGGATACGCTACACATATATAACTTGAAACACATACATATTATAAATATAAACATCCACGACTGGAGTACAAACATCCGTGCTCATCGCACAAATTTAGTGCCCCCAGCGGGATTCGAACCCGCGACCGCTGGCACATCAAGTACGGTCGCTACAAACTTAGCTACACGTGTCGTTATCTAAATAATATCAAATAATAATATATAATCAAATGGGTACTAATTTTAGGGAGTATACACACCATGATGCGGCTATTCTTAGCAGATAAACAAAAAAATGGACTTATTCCCATAACTTTTGACATACACACCAACGGTGAATGTATCATGAAAGAACTTTGAATAAACATATTTTACAATAATAAATGAAAAAATTGACATATACAATTGTAATGCATTGTTATACACATATACATATTCTCAGTAAACTTTTATGATCAATATTAGTCGGTGCCAGTCCCTGGATGTGAATATAAATTTGAAAACAATTGTTCTTTTCAAAATGTCAATTTGCCTTATTTACATCGACTGTGTAATGTTAAGTATATAAAAATAATTCACAAAAATAAAGAAACCCGCAGGTTTCTAAGTAAGTTTTCGAAAAACGTGAAGTCCGCCAACCCGCAGTTGGCCAACGTGGTGGACTATGGCCTGATCCCCCTCGTATTGAAGGAAGGCCCATGCCCAGCAGTGGGACGGTTTTTTTTTTTAAAGTGTGTATGTATGCAATTCATTTATGGTAGAAGTGAAACTTCTTTGGCAAATATTGAAATTAAATTAAAACAAATCAATAATTAAATAAGGCATGCTAGGCATATCACAATCATATATTTATAGAATATCATATACGCATAAAGAATATAATATTATACATTTGTCAGACAATAACAATCGTTACCATGGCAACATGGCAATGTATTCTATCTCATTCCCTCGCCGGCTTAATCCTACATATTTATGTGTTTGTCTAATTCAAATTCAAAATATTTTATTCAACATTAAATTATTACAATTTTTTACTGGACGTCATGAGTCTACTACCAGTTCGGAAAGAAGAAGCCTCAGACCTGAGAAGAACCGGCGAAAGAAACTCAGCGGGACTAATATTATTTCATTAGTATTTTCTCTTTTTAGTGTCGCATTACCGTTTCATGGAGTTTACAAACAACAATTCTAAAGAAGTTTCGCTTCAAAAAAGGTAAATGCGAAGTACTCACGCATGTAGAGCGCGAGCATGAGCGCGTTGCGGTCCTGCACGGCGGGCAGCGCGGCCGCGGCGCGCGCGTACGCCGCCTCGCCCGCCAGCGCCGGCCCTGCAGTGCCGACCGACCAGTCAGTTATTTACAATAATAAAGTCAATTTTGAACTTATTCAAATAGACTTAACTTCATTCAAATAGACTTGTTATAAGCACTTTTGAATCATCAATTTACTTGAAAGAGTGTCCGTATAGTCAGTCTGCGAGGAAGCTACCGGTAAATATATCAAAACTATCATCACCTTAGTGTTTATTTGTTGAAACTAATTCATAGTTAATTAATTCATAGTTGAAACTTAGGACTTCAAAAGACAGTTTGAAAGGCAAGTATTTGTGAGAAACAAAAAAAGATACAAGTCAATTTATTTAAAAAAATGACTTCCACAGCAGTATTGCGAGTGATAGGAAGTGTGTGAGCGAGAGGGAGTATGTGAATGACAAGCACCGATGACGTGCACGCGGTCGGCGAGCGCGTGGCAGTAGGCGAGCGCGGCGGCGGCCAGCTGGTGCACGGTGCCGTCCACGGCGCCCGCCGCGCCGTCGCCGCGCACGCCCTCCACCCACTCCTCCAGCGACCGCACGCACTGAAACCATATCATTTATTACTTTACAAACCATTCATACTCTATGATATTTATGTAGAATTTTAAATTATCAATAAATGTTGTTGACTTAGCAAGCAGAACTAGCTGAATTGACAGCCCCACAATATTTTTACAGAAAGGAACATTTTCAGTTTTTCTGAACTTCCAAATACATAACATTTGCATAGACTTTTTTAAGTGACGGGTTTAAAAACATCTAGCATTTGATTTTTGAAGTTTGAGTAAGATTTTTACAATACTTACGGAATGAAATCTTTAGTTATTTTTGTTCTGTTACGCTAAAGAAGTATAACTTCTTACGTGTGTACATAAGAACATACACGTTTCTTTTTATTATATTATAGAATATTATATGTAGTGTAGACACTCGTATGTATCTATAGCCTGCGGCGACTCACATGGTGGTTGCAGGCGGCGACGATGGCGTGGTAGGGCGCGGGCGGCGCGGGGTGCAGCGCGCGCGCCGCGTCGGGCGCCAGGCGCTGCAGGCGCGCCGCCAGCGCCCAGCCCGCCGCCGCGCCCGCCGCGCAGCGCGCCGCCGCGCGCCGCGCCCGCTGGCACACGCGCTCCACCTCCGACGCTGCGCACACACGCACACACACTCACTCACTTGTTACGAGTTCCAAATTCAAATTCAAAATATTTTATTCAGCATTAAATTATTATAATTTTTTGCTAAGCGTCATGAGTTTGCTACCAGTTCGGAAAGAAGAAGCCTCGGTCGGACCTTAGAAGAACCGTAGACAAAATGTTCAAATGGAACTTTTATAATTTTATTGTCTGTTTGTCCGTTGTCATAGCCATTTGACTCAAAGATCGCTAGGTAATCCCGAAGCCAAACTACAAATATAAAATGATGTGACATTTCACATGCGTTACTGAACGTAAAGAAATAAGAAATATACACATATATGTATAATAATAGTAAAGATTATATTTCGTAATAAACCATCTAAAAAAATATTTTCAATAATGTGGAAAAACATTTAGTGTGTGAGTTAATTGTATCCTTAGTTACAAATATAATTAATTATAATGTTTATTTATTTAAATTAATTTTTTTTTACTCCTCTGTCTGTTGGTCTGTTTGTACGGGCTAATCTCTTGAAAATGTTGGACCGATTTAAATGAAATTTTGCATGGTAGTACCTTATATCTCCGGTCCACATTTTAAATACTTTTCATCCCGGAAAATTAAAGAGTTCCCATGGGATAGATAAAAAACTACAGTAACTTATACAGCTTAGTACACAAAAATTACTGATTGGATTTAAATGAAACTTTACAATAATATCGTTTATACATCAGAATAACAAATAGGCTTTTTTTAATCCCGGAAAAATGTACGGTCCTCGTGGAATAGATTTGTCTGTCTAGAGGCTAACCCGAGCGAAGCGAGGCTGAGCTGCTAGTACATATATAAAATACATTTTTTTCGGCTTTTATAAGTTAAAATGTGTGTACCAATAAAATTGACATTTCTAATATCTAAAGGTCTATAGTAAAAACTGTTTCGGTAAAACGATCGTTTGGGTCGACGAGCGCCGAGTCGTGTCTCACCGAGCAGCGCGTGGCAGTCCTTGAGCAGCGCGGCGAGCAGCGCGGGCAGGCGCGCCAGCGGCACCAGGCCCAGCGCGTGCCGCTGCTCGCGCCGCGCCACGCGCACCAGCGCCGCCGCCAGCGACGCCGCCGCCTCCGCCGCGCGCTCGTCCGCCGCGCAGTGCGACGACTCCGCGTCTGCCAACATTCACATCCTTCAATTCTCACTATTGAGTTGCATCACGTTATTAACATCATAACATCATATTTAACGCGATGGAATTCAAATATAGTTCAAAACTAATAATCCTGTGAAAAACTTTTAAAATTAATTATTTAAGTTTAAGTCTACACACAATCCCATGCAAAAGTTCTCCTAAAACAGTCACCAATGGTGTTTAGGTAATTATTCTGATTGAAATACATATACATATACAGCAATGTAAATTAAACCTTAAATGCAATGATTAATTGTTATCACAAAAAAAAATTAAAGGCGCGCTCAAATATCTCTCACTCGTGTGTGACGTCATCGCACCTCACCGAGACCGTCGCGTGGGCCTCGCGTTGTTCTGAATTATTTTGCGTACAACTGCTTCTTCTTTATTTATTGGTAGCGTTATTTTTAATTTAAAATTTCGGTCGTTTAATTCGTCGGTGTGACGTCACGAAATTTTAACAACCACAATTTTAAAGTTTCATTACTTTTTCGTTTGTTGACATATTTTAGTAATTCTTCCATATTTTTTATTATATTTTATTTAAAATTTATTTTTAATTCATAAAAATGCGTTTAACACTTCTCCATTAATTACTAAACGTCATGTATACCTCCCTCACGCCTAAAAAAGCCCTTTAGGCCACAGTATTAATCCACACAGTTGTCTTACAGAAGAGCAATCATGCGGCGCGCTAGTGAGACGCGAAGGAGAGACAGTCCGGAAACGATTTTAGGATTGAATGGTATAAGAAACTAATAATAACCACGAAATGGAACAATTTACTATTTTAACAACCCTAACATTTCAGCGAGGGGCTTATTTCGCTTTATCAAGGAGCACAATAAACACGTTGAATTCAGACTATATCTTTGGATCTACTCAATTTAAACACAGGTCTTTAAGTTGCTATCTAAACCATAGTAAATTCATTCAACCGTTCTACAGGATGGTTAAATGCACCTTGCACATATTTACAACCTAAAATAGTAATAATGACCCCTATAAAGTATTTATATATAATATACTACTTAATTATATACATAATTAGAACTTGTTACGTACATGCTTCATTAATAGACCGTCTCGGACCAATGGCCAGTCCAGTGGACTGTTCCAGGGTTTGGGACGCCTTCATCATTATGTTGATAGCTCGTTTCTCCAATCTAAATCAAACAAATATGGTTAAGACAACTGCACGCGTAACTGTATGCTTTACATATATATGTACTCGTATACACCATTCAGCCACTTTTAACGTCCAACTGCTGGACATAGATCTCCCTTCAATAAGGTGAATCAGTCCATATGCCACCATGCTGGCCAAGTTCCGTTTTGCGGACTTCACATATCTTTCGAACACTTGCTAGGTTTTCTCTGACATGCAGGTTTCCTCACAATGTTTTCCATCACCGTACGACAAGTGATAATTATATTGGAAATAATTTGCACATGAAAATATCAAAGGTGCGAAACTTACTGTAGCAAATAAAGCAAAATGTATAGATATAGAGGCCCTTAACTTATCATTTTCCTTCGTTTACTATTTATAGAGTCACATCCATCTTACCACCTTACCAATGAATAAATAATAAATAGTTTAGCCAGTTTTTCTCAGGTCGGAGGCTTCTTCTTTCCAAACTGGTAGTAGACTCATGACGTTCAGTAAAAAATTGTAATAATTTAATGCTGAATAAAATATTTTGAATTCGAATTTAAAGAATATATTTACCAACCATTTAAAATTAATCAAGATCTAAATGTAATTCTGTTTGGACTGTATACTGAGCTGAAGGGATTATATGGCTAAGACTAACTATTACTTAATATCATTGTATTAAAAAAATATAAATCTTACACTTTTTGAATTTTGCTAGTTCTTCTCTGAGTGCTGTCTGTGCGGTTTAGCATATTTTTATTTCTCTGAAAGCAAATTTAACTTTCGATTATCATAAAATTAACGCAACTTGAACGAAATTCTAAAAAAATCAACTACTCATTATTACTTTATAAAAAGATGGCCGCTAGCCCACATATGGCTACCATAACATCATACTGAGGATGCCGTGCTCATTGAGTACTTCAAAAATGGTCAACTCACCATTAACTATCAGTGAAGCAGCCATGGACCTGGACCGCAAGTAGCCCATGAAAGCGACAAGCAAGTTCAAATTCAAGTTCAAAGCCGCCAGTCCATGTATATCCAACATTGAACTCTTTGAAAGCAACACACTCGTTGTGGAAATTGAAAAATGTAAATACACACACACCATTAATGGTGAAGCTGCCATGGACCTGGACCGCAAGTAGTCCTTGAAGGCCACGAGCGAGTTCAAAGCCGCCGGCCCACGTATGGCCAGCAGTGGGCCGGCCGGCGGTCGCCCCGCGTCGCTGAGCCACGTCGCCGCCGCCCGCATCGTCTCTAGCGCGGTGTTCGTTGTCGAGTTGCTGTTGCTTACACTCACGCTGTCCACACTGGAATCTAATTGGAAATAATTATATACAATGTTATTGTAATATTTACCCCTTGCTTGTAATATTAATAGTTCTTTAGAAATTTCATTAAAAGAAGGAAAAGCTTGGTGTGTTATATTTTAAAGTTTTTTTTAAGCCTAATAAATAAAACAACACAAAATTTACATTTACACTAAAATTTGACATTTAAATAAATCTTTTTTCATTTTTTTATTACTACTATTATTACTATTAGGTGTTTTTGTTATTTTTTTATCTTTATATATATAATTCTTCTGTGAGTGTGTATGTCACTGAACTTCTCTCAAACGACTGGACCGATTTTGATGAAATTTTTTGTGTGTGTTCAAGGGGATCTGGGAATGGTTTAGATTCACAATTTGAATAATAATTTTCATCAAAAAAATTATTAAAAAAAGTTTGAAATTTTCAAATTAAAGACGTGTAGACAGGACAACGTCTGTCGTGTCCGCTAGTAGTTTTATATTATTTTTCGTGTCCTGCATTTCTGATGTTTTTAGCTTTATATAGATATACTTATATATGAAATAAGAACAATATATATTTATCACTTACCTTCCTCCAAAGCAATCATATCCATGAGGGTAGTTGGAGATAATGGTCTTGTATTACGACTTAAAAGTTCCTCAAAAGCATTTTCTAATTTCAGTACTCCAGTATTGTATAACTGGTTCTATAAATAATCCAAAGAAATCCCATCAAATGAAAATTTAAAATGTTCTATACATTTAATTTTTCAATTTCTTTAAATTTAAAAGTTCTTTACATTTAATTTTCTTTTTAATCTTCATAAGATTTACATAAACATATTTATTTTTTATATAAATTTTCACTTTATGCCATGAATACAATAAAACTTATACTTACAATATTCTCTAATTCAACACTTTGAGGATTATTTTTGTTGAAATAATTTTGAGCTTCTTGTAATTTATCGAGAGCCTGAAAAAAACCAACACAGAGTAAAATAGCACTGACATTTTATATTTATTCTTTTGTAACAAACAAACCTCCACATATATGTTTAGTGTTTCTGTAGAACTTGTATGAGGTCCAGCTTGTATAAGATCCACTAGCTCTCTGGACACCATATAATAATTAATTACATGGTCTAAAGCAGTAACTGTACGTTCCATATCTAGAATTAATATTTAACAATATTTAAATTGTACAAAAATTAAAAATGTTTCATTAATTTAAAATTTTACAAGATCATAATTTAAAATATTGAAATAGTACAGATCAATTCTATGAATACCACATAAAATTAGCTTATTTTTAAAAGACAATTTAGAAAAAGCTAGAATTTGAAAGTTATTAATGTGTGTATGTATACTTCTTCACAATATAAAAAAGGTCAAAATAAATTCAAAATAGAGATAGCTTATATTAAAGATAAACTAACACATTGCTGTTTATCATACTTTCCACATAAACACAAAGATGCACACAAAAAGTATTAGGTAATAAAGTTTAAAAGAACTTACTGTGATGTATTTGCTGAAGTCTAGCTGTGTCACCATATAAAGGTAGAACAGCAGTCTCCAGCTGTTGGAGTCTCTGTTCACAGGCACCCAATACATTACATACATCATTAGCGAGCGTTGAACTTTTCTTTGCTGCCGCCTTTAATTCTTGCATGTTCGTCATTTCCTAGTGAAAAGTACAAGAAACGCCCCCAATTAATCAGTATTTATGAAGTATGAAAATATATAATTCCATAAAACACTTGCTTAGTGTAATTAAAATAGACATCAGTTATTTGTATAAATATCAAATTTAAAATTAAATAGAAGTGATTACCCTTTTCAGCTTCATTTCGATTTCGAATTTCTTCTCCACAGCATACATTTTGATATTTTAAATTATATTAATTTTTAAAGGGAAAATTTAAATTTTCTTATTATAAATTGTTATGATAGCGCACTAACACACACAAAAAGAACACGGAAACGGGAAATCAAACATAATTTTTATGAATAAAATTCATAAAAACAAACTTTGCAGCTTACTCGTAGATTTATTAAGATTGAATGTGACAGTGACAACTGACAAGTAACAACTGACAGTTGACATACTTTAAAAAAATGCAAAATGGGGAAATTTTTTTCGAAAGGAGGGCGCCACACGTATGGCCTACATTCTGTCTGAGGTTAAGCAATTTATTGTAATCCCTTTTATACCTGGTTTTCTAGTTCTATTGCGTTCGCATCTTACCTATGCAATATATTGTACCTGGAAGTTAAACCAGCTGAAGGAAGAATTGGGAAGGAGATGTGCATTCTGCGGTGGTCCGGAGTCTGACTGATTGATGAATCAAATTGAAAGTTCAAAGTCGTGAAATTTGGAAGACGTATTTCTTATATGATGTAGGCAGCCCATAACAAAAGATTTTTCAAAATTCATCCCCTAAGTACAATATGTAGAGGATTAAAGATTGTATGAAACTCTGTCATTATTAATATGAAATACATAGAAAGTGGTGTTTAGCTTTAATATAAAAAATAAGAAATATATTTATTTAATTTTTAGCGAAATTCAACCCTTAAAGGGGTAAAAGAGGGTAATAAAGTTTATATTAACAAAGAATTATTTATGATCAGAATTACTTGAAACTTGGTATTAATGTTATTCAATACAATGAAATAAATACGTATTTTGGCATTTTTTTAAATTCAATCCCATATAGGGATAAAATGGAGGGAGAGGGGGAGGTGTAGGGGTAAAAGTACAAAAAAAAATCACCTGTAGACGATATAAAAATTTTAAAAACACTTTCTGCAAAGTGATGTCCACATAGCCTTAAATATAAAAATCGTAATTTCGCCTATTTTGGTCGTCTTATTGCTTTATCCAACATTTTCTTCAGTTTTTGTCTTTTGGGAACAAATAATATAATTATCATTTTTTTTGCATCCTGGCACTGCACACTTTGTCATTTTAATTAAATTTTAACTAAAATAAAAAAAACGTCCCCTCTATACTTTACAATAAACCGAGGATCATATTGATCGTGACATCTGGCGGGAGAAAAATCAAATATCTTCCCCATTGGAAATAATTTAAATTTAGAAATGTGTTATAGCGAATACTTATATTATAAATATAGACCCTGTAAAAACCCGTATAAAATCTTTAAGATTAAATATAGAACAGTAAAATTATAATATTGCAATCTATATTTACTATAAACAATGTCAAAGTATCCGATCTAGTTTATGATGACGTGACGTACAACGTCGAAACGTGGCTGACGTTCGCTGCTTTTACTTGTCACTTTTCATTAACTCTGCAGTGAAAATTACGGTTTTGTTATTTCATATTTGTAGGACAAATATTCAATACATCGTTATATTTTCGTGTCAGTGCAAACTTATTAATTAACAGTACGTATTAGTGCTCCTTAATTTTTATATTTGTATTAAACATATATTTGTACTTTAAAAGGTGTATTTTAACTAAAAATAATTTTACTTTCAGAAATGGACCAAATCGCTAAGTTTGTGGAACCTGGTAAGCAGTTCGCCAAGGATTCTATCCGATTAGTCAGAAGATGTACAAAACCAGACAGAAAAGGTATATATATTTTATTTCTAGTCTAATTGGATTTTTCCGGAAATGGATCATATTAGATTGATAAATCGTTGTGTTGGCAAAGTGCAGCCAATCTCCAAAATTCTGAGATCAATTATTTAACCTTCGTGTTTTAAGTATAAATAAAAGTAGAGGTACCATTCATTTAGAAAAGCATATAATTTCAGTTGTTTAGCTGTCAAACTTAGACACCAGCTGTTTTGGCATAGGAATATAGTTACAATTCTATTTTAAAAGTTCACATTTCCACTGCTTTGTAATTAGTTAAATTACATCTTGCAGCAACATGCAATGTAATTTTTTTTAATTTATTTAAAAAAATATATTTTTTAAAATTTTTAATTCAAGATAGTATGAAAATAACTATAGTTGTTATCATTTTCATTTTATTTATTTTTTTACTTTTAAAAATTGTATCCTTACAGAGCTTTTCTATTAATTTCAGAATTCCAAAAGATTGCGATTGCCACAGCTATTGGTTTCTGCATCATGGGTTTCATTGGTTTCTTCGTCAAACTCATACACATTCCAATCAACAATATAATTGTTGGATCTTAAAACTAGGCTAGTGTAGTTGTATGTTATCTTTAAGCTCCCAATGTCTAATTTAATTCTCACTTTCATTGTTCAACAAATTTTATTAGAATAAATTATTTCTATTTCTAAGTATTGTTTCAATTAATATTTATGCAATATTGTAATATTTAATCCCTAAAGATATTTACAAATTTTATATTATAAAACAATGATTTAAAAATAAAAAATAAAGCAAGTAATAATTTTTTTACATAAAATTATTTTACTAATTGCTTTTTTTAATGTATTTATATTTTCACAGTATTTATTATTATAATGTGATATTTTATTAATGCTAATACATCTGTGATCTTTGCAATATTTTAAATACATTATTTGTTCATCCTGCAATAAAATTATTTTTAAGATAATGAAATTCAATTAGATCAATAAAGTTAAATTATATAAGCACTTTTGAATCGTCAATTTAGTTTAAAGAGTGTCAGTGTAGTCAGTCCATGAGGAAGCTACCAACGGGTCGGAAATCAGTTTGCTGAGAAGAGCCAGCCAGAATCTCAACAGTTGCTCTAATGTAAACAATATATTGAGAATTGTCTTTTCTAGTTGAATTTAGTTTACCAAAATTAGATAGTACTCATAGCTCAATATATTAAATTATAATATTTATTGTAAATGCTATCATCTGTTAGTGTCAATTTTTTGTACCAATATTTTAACTAATATTTATAATTTAGTTTTTATTTAAGATTATCACCCTAGTACAAAAAAATAATGATAGAGCACTCCAGCCATTTGATGTTAATTTTTGGTTCAATCTTTCACAATCACATATACCAAGAAAAAATAATTGAATGTGTATTATATAACACACAATACAAATTGCTGTTCTAGTTCACTTACTGTCTAAATACGATTAAATTATCTTCCCTGATTTAGAGTACTACATTGTACACGTACATATACCCTAAGTTAGACTCCCTCACAAATTATTATAATAGTTCTTACTTTTTGGTCTATAGATACTTTGTAGTTTTAAAAGCCTCGGTTGTCTTGTGGTTAGCATGTATGAATGCAGATCTGCGGGTCCTGGGGTCGAGTCTCGGGTTGGACCGAGATTAGTTATTGAGTTTTTTTGTCGAAAAAATCTCACTAACAGCTGGAGTTGGAAGGTTGAGGGGTTTTATTTACCCCTGTGCCTCGGAGATCATGTAAAGCCGTCGGTCCCGTGCCTTAACTCTCACCGCAAATATCGAATTGTAATCTCATTAGAGTTAGAGAGGAGATATGTAGATCGAAAATAGAATAAAGTCTCATTGTCAGTGAAATTAGCCGCCGTGGGCGAATTATCGGTTTGGAGGACATTCTTTACTTATTACTTTGTAGCTTTATTGGTTGAAGTTAGTTCGACTAAGAAATAAAAATTAAAATTTAGGTACTTCAATTAACAAAGATTGATACGCCATTAATTTTTTATATTAGGTACATAGACATTGATGTTAATGTAAAATAAATAGGAGAAAAAGAGTTGTTTCCAATAATAATATTCTTGGGTCAATAATACTAGTGTCTAGTACCTTTTATCCCATATAAAGAAATTGGACAGCGCCATAATTCGGGCTGTTTTGGTTTGCTTGAGTAGATAATAGATGTCGTTAATGTACAAACTTTCGAACCGTTTTATTATATTATTAATATGTGTAAACTAAAATATGATAAATATTGTAAAAAAATATTTGAAATTTAATTAAACAGATTTCAGTGAATTTAACAGTTTTTAACTGTAGTAAATAATTTATAAAAAAAGCGCTATCTGTGAATACAAAGTACAAACCCATTAATTACCTCATTTTTCAATAATTAGTAAATTTACGCTAATTTAATTCAATATTTGATTTTCATTTCCTAAGATTTTTTTAAAAACCATAATATAGCTTCTTGCGATGTATTATTAATTTTTTGTGAATTTTACACAAATATCAATAACAAATCTATACTGAATACTGATATTATAAAGAGGCAGAGTTTGTTTGTTTGAATGTGCTAATCTCAGGAACTAGGTACAAATCCGATTAGAAAAATTCTTTTTGCATTAGACAGCCCGTTTATTGAGGAAGGTAATATAGGCTATATGCCTATCGTCATGCTACTACTCAACAAATCTAGCAGACTTTCATACATTATTGTAAAAGTTATGGTTATATCGGAACTTTGAACGCGGGCGAAGGCGCGGGTACTGCTATATAATATATATTCAATCTATTCCATACTAACCGTTTAAACGAACCTGGGGACGAACCCGAGGGAAGTGAAGGTGAGCCGCTAGTCGATACATATAATGCCATCTATCGAAATTTGTTTAAACTAATTTTTCTTTGTTTCTGATGACACCCGATGGTACGTATACGTAGGTAAGTACCTACTATGGAAAAACTAAAAACTAAGATGACAATGCACCCTGTTTGTTATGAATACATTATGTACGAGTCATAAAATATGCAAATTTTGGTGACTTTAATCGGTGATCATACTTTTCTTCGTAAATTATAAATTTTATTCTTACTTCAATAATATCTAAATTTATAATGCTATCTATTTATCTTTAATGGTAGGTACTAATTTTTCTAAAAAGATATACTAAAAGCATTAATTATAAACCTATTAAAAATCTATCAAAAACTTATAAGCTAATTTCTGATTTTTTGATTTATTCCAATGCGTTGAACCATAACAGCGTTAAAATGAGGATGGAACGTGTCCATGTCTCTTATAAAACAAAAATTTGTTAAATAAGATATGTGTATATTTAAAATTGTATAGGTATTTATTATTAAAACTAGCATTTCCCGCGGCTCCGCCCGCGTTCAGATGACCAAAAACCAAATCCTTAGGTTTTACAGATTAGTATACTCTTACATTGCAATTTTAGCATTTTTCTCAGAAATGAGATATTTTCCTATTATTTATATAGATATTATCCTATATGTTGACCCGGATAACCAGCTATCACCATACCAAATTTCATCAAAATCCCTCTAGTGGCTTTTTTTTGATGCGGTAATAGACAGACAGACAGACAAAAATTCTAAAAACTATAGATTCGGCTTCTGTATCGATAATAATGTCTATTTCAATAAGATTTTCCAAAAAATATTTAATGTACAGATTCAGGCTTAGTTACAATTTTATTATATTAGGTACTTATAGATAAATAATTTCAAGCTTTTTTGTAACAAAAACTTTATTTATGTAAAAAAGAATCCTATTAGCCTATCTTATTCTCTAGCTTTTTGAACCACATGAATGTAGTAGGCGGGATTGGCGACGTGCTCGAGAGGCTGGAAGTCTGCGTAGATATTGTGCTGAGCAGATAAGTCGAAGGCCTCATCCAGCATCCGCGTGAAGCTGTCGAGCCGGTGCGGGTAGTAGCAGAGGCGGAACTCGCTGAGAATATATAAAAGTAAAATTAATGTAATTTAAGAAAACGATTGTTTGAATGTTATTAATATACTAAAAAATTAAAACTGCAAAATGCAATGTACCTAGGTATATGGGACTTATTAGCTTAAACCTTTTCCTACAATATATTGTACGATGCATAATGATTCGATCGATTTCGTCGATAATAGTGGGTAACTTTAAAGAGATATTATAGATATTTACCTCTTCTCATTTGCGGGGCCTTCATCGGTGGCGTCAATGCAGTAGTCGAGCGCGACCAGCTCGGGCTTCCCGCGTACAACTAGCACTGAGGTTTTTATATCGACCGGGTACTTGCACTGTAATAATTTGTAAATATGTATATATACATAGGTATATTAAATACTTAAACCTTTTATTACTTCAAAAATATTGAAAAGTAAAAGAATATTAAACAACAACTTATTATTTCAAAGTAGATTATAATGAAGGCCTTTTAACTAAAAGTGATCTCTCCTAGGCAACCTATATTCAAATATCGATCCAAAGGAAATCAAAAAGGTCTACATATGATATGGATTTAGTTTATATTAAATAAAGTACCTAGGCGACCGAAATTCGTTAGGAGTTTTTGGCCAAAAGTGCAAATTTCTTTTTAAAAAAACTATAAACTTGAATAAACACAAAAAAAAAACAAAAGAAAAAGCTTTGAAGCTGGCCGGGATACGAACCCGGACACCTTGTGCGTGCGTAATTAGCGACCATACTTTGCGTGGAATAATGCGAAAGGAAACCGCATAAAAACTTGAAAACACGCGTTTTCCCAGACATAAGACAATTCTAGATCGAGTTTTCGTCCCCGAAAACCCCCACGTATCAAATTTCAGCAAAATCGTTAGAGCCGTTTCCGAGATCAGCGGTATATACTCGTATAAATAAATAAATATATAAAAATTGCTAGCTTAAATGTTGTTATTACTACTAAATGTGTAATTACTACTAATTTCATTCTGTTACCGCTTAGATAACAGTTTGAAATTAGTAGTTTTAAGTTTATAAAAGCTGGGTTCAGACAGCTTAAAAAATATATATTTTTTATTTATCAGAGTATCATTCATAAATATGTTAATATTCTGTAAAAATTTAAAGCGGCTATTAGGTAATTATTATTGTTATGTTAAGATGCACCTTGTATAAAGTACGATAGAATACGAAGACCGAGTAAACTTAGCCTTTAACACCTTAATCTCGAGTTTTGGAAGATTTAAATGTATTATTTTAAACCTACTAGGCATATTTTAACTTTTATCTTTGTTTAAAAATAATAGAAATTTATAATTACAAACAGACCATTGATTAATAATAATATTATGTGACAAACATAATAATAAACTTGATGTGACTAACAAAAATACGTTATCACATAAACTAAATATTATTTCATATTATAAGATAACGCGTAAGTTTACATCATAAATTCTGTAAGCATAGAGATAATAGAACTTCACATATTGAAATACACGTGGACAATTTATAGATATAAAGTTGTTTTATTCAATCAGCATTTCATATTATATTATACTTTATTGAAAATGCATCTTGAATTACCTAATTAAAATGTATACCTACATACAAAAAAAAATGGGTGCGTATAACTTTTACGCGCGGTTGAAGTAAAACTTCGTTGGCGAATATCGCAATTAAATTAAAACAAATTAATAACTAAACAAAGGATATTAGACATATTACAATAATATATTTATAGAATATCATATACGGAAAGAATATAATATTATATATATTTTGTCAGACAATAACAATCGTTACCATGGCAACACAGAAATGTATTCTATCTCATTTTTCGCCGGCTTGATACTATATTTTTTATGTGTTTGTCTCTTTTTAGTGTCGCATTTTTTGTTTAAGCGAGTTTCAAATCACAACGTTTCTAAAGAAGTTTCACTTCATAAAACATCAGATCAATAAAAAAATGACCTTTTTTGGTCAGAGCAGAAATCTTTATTCTAACTGTACCGACTCACATTATAATAAATAGAATGTCCAGGCGTAGCACCACTGTTGATCATGGCGTCATAATTTCTGTGATCAATGAACAAGAGCCCTCCTGGCTTCAACATTTTAGCGAAGTTGCGCAAGCACATCTTTTGTGTCCTTTGATCTTCAAATTCATCTAATAAATGGGCAAAAGAGTTGCCGAGGCATATAACGGCGTCAAATAATGCTCCTGGTTGGAATGAATTTACGTCTTGTGGTAATGTCTCCCAGCTGGCTTCTTCGATCACTGAAATGCAAATTATTGTAGTTGATTAAAAATCCACCAATACCATCCATCAAAAAAGTACTAGATACACAATCTAATACAAAAGTTCTCTTAAAATTGTCATCAATTGTGTTTAGGTTTTGGGTTGTTGTGTTTTCACATAGGTATTTTTTTGAATTAAAAGCGCGCTCAAATGATTAATTGAACGAGCACTCATTCGGTGAGGATATTTTTTGTCGCTGATTGTGTATCTAGTACTTTTTTGATTAATGACTAAAACCAAACATCACATTTTATACAATAGTCTATACTCTATACTAAGAGGACAATAATGTATATTAAAATTATATCTTTTCACGTACCCCATTCATCGTATCTACTATCCCTTCTTTTTTCCCATCTCGCTTTTAATGCATGTTTTAACATTTTATCTGATGCATCTATGGATACTACTTTAAAGCCTTCATCAAGCAACATCATAGAGTCTATTCTGAAAATAAAAAAAAACAAATATCATTATTTAGAAAATCTACAAAAGATAATTATGACTGAATTTTGTCCTAATTGCTTTTAAAAATATTCTAGTAGTTTATTGTCGTACATAATAAAAAACTTTTTTATTTAATAATTTACTCAATGTAATTATTTTATTGCAGTGTAAGCTTAATAATTAATTGTGGTATTAAAAACATATTAAACATATTATTTAAGTTCAATTCGTCAGATAAACAATTACGTGAGGTCAACTGCGTAGGTATCTCATGCTGTTACTTGCTTAAGATACTCGTAACTAAGCAGGAAGAAAAAAATTAGTGTGGCAATAAGCGACCATATTTTTTTTAAATGGGTGTTTCTTTTTATATTTTATTTAACAACAAGTTATATAATGTCTAAATATAAATTAATTATTACACTAGCGGCTCACCCTCGCTTCGCTGAGGTTCGCCTCTAGAAAAACAAAAACAAATCTATCCCTCGGGAACTGTATATTTTTTCGGGATAAAATAGCCTATGTATTTTTCTCTGTGCTATCTATCTCTGTGCCAAATTTCATTCAGATCCGTTCAGCCGTTCTGGCGTGAAAGAGTAACAAACATCAATACATACTCACAAACTTTCACATTTATAATATTTATTTATACAAATTATTTGCTTATAGATTTACTTGCTACAGATACGTATTATTGTCCTGCTATTAACAATTTTTTAAATGAAATATTTGTTTAAATTCATAATAATTAGTAACTTCATTTATTGCCATTAACACGGTCACCCTACAGACTTGATAGCTACTTGACCTTTAAACTTAGATAACAACTGTAGAATTTTAAATAACTAAATATTTAATACTTTCTTAGATTTACGCGAATGTTTGACATTATTAAATAAAACTATCTTATCGGATTATTTCGCGGATTTATTTTGATTTTTGGTACCAAAAATCAAAATAAATCCGAGAAATAATCCGAAAAGATAGTTTTATTTAATAACTAAATATTTATACATCGTCCCTTCATGTGTGTCCCGGCTTCGCTCAGTAATGTTTTGAAGTAAAACTTCTTTGCGCGAATGAGAGTAGAAATTTCAAGGCCGTGTCCTGAGAAATCGTGACGAAAATCCGTCATGGTTGCCATAGTAACCGCTTGCATTAGGTTGCCATAGTAACCGTTGTTATAGTCTGACAAATGATATACTTAATTTATGATTGTATGTATGTTTGTTACGCTTTCACGCTGAAATAGCTGAACGGATTGGGATGAAATTTAGTATACAGATAGCCCATGACACATAGACATTATTATTATGGTACCACGTAGGCTGCATTTAGGCACCTAAGTAGGTATCCATCATCCACCCGAGCGAAATGAAGGTGAGTCGCTGCTTATAAATATTTTGCATAGGTATTTGAAAAAAAGATTTGTAAAAATTGTAATCTTTAAAGATAGCACAGAAAAGAATATCGTATACATATTATATCATTTATCAGACTATAACAACGGTTGCTATGGCGACCTAATAATGCAAGCGATTACTATGCAATTGAATAAAATACTGCACGTCCCTAGACTAACCCAGTCCCGCAGGCTACATCCAACACTTTAACACAGCCATGTTTCTTCAGGAGTCCGGAGAGGAAATCTCTGTAGTTTTGAGTCCTCTCATTGCTGTCACCGATGTATTTCTTCCACACTCTAGCAGCTTTGCCGTCCGCATACTGATCCTTTACACCCTCGGAAGGTATACCTTGTGACCGTGAATGGAAAACTTTGTCAGCTGACATGTTTACTGAAAGAGAAGAGGGTGATTGAAATTTGTAATAACAAATAACGTTATATGTTAGTTGTTACTTCTCACTAGGTACTGAGCGTCAGCGTCCATTAGACGTATCCAGAATATAAAGACAGCATATTTGCTGGCGGGGTTTAAATTTTTATAACCTCCAGCGTAGGTACTTCTACCACTATCACGAGTGGTCGTCATACGCGTAGTTTCACCTATGAAACTATCAGTTTCATGTTGGGAATTATTTTCAACATGGTTGCCACTTAATAAAAACATTGTGAGGAAATCTATTTGACAAGACCCAATTATTTTTCGAAAGTCATGGGAAGCCCGCCAAACTGCACTTCGCTAGCGTTACCTACTCTGGCCTATCTTTAGTATTGAAGGAAGGTATGTGGCCAACAGTGGGACGTTAAAGGGGTTGAATACTATACTAAGAAATTATTATGTATGTTATTTTACCAGTTGGTTTTATAAGTACTATCTACGAAAATTCAAGTCTATATAGGTATAGGTAAAAAAATGATAATTCAATATTTGTCGATACATATAATTCTCCACATTGAAAGAGTTCATCGCTTTTAAACAGCTCTACCATTCACAGTCCATTCGTTTGGAGCTACAATACCTTATACCACAGACAGACAGACAAAGATTTCACATGACATTTTTCGTTTTCGTCGTCGTTTGGATATTAAGCTATGCGTGTGCGTATAATTATTTATAAGAATTCTATTATTGAAATATTATCCTCAAGGAAATTTATTGATTTTGTATTAAAAAATAATTTTATAGAGTTAAGTAGATACCTACTCCTTAAAAGTGTTTAACATTAAAGCAACAATATGTCAGTGCCTTGTCTTAAGATACAATTAATTTTACTGAATTCGCACGCATCATTATCATTTTTGGTGTTTCCACTGCACTGGACGTATTTCTCGTTTTTTTAGTAAGTATAAATTGGTCTTATTCAACAAGTTGGAATCATACTTTAATTTCATTAAAATTTATATATATATATAACATTACTTTAAAGATAAATATTTAATTAACTATATATAGGTACCTATTCATATTAACAACAGATTAATCTAAGTACCTACTTATAAATAACAAATTATGTACTAAAATAATAATGTTTTTTTATTACTTGGTGCTGTGACTGAATAAATCGTCAATCGGTAGTCTAGACTGTACCAGACGAGCCTACGATATTTGAACTGCAATGCGGCTATTACTTTTCATACGTTTTATAGAATTTTTTCCTTTTGAGTAATATATAACTTCATTTTATCATAAACAATTATGGTTTTTATATAAAAGCTAAGTGTATCAAATCACTTAAGAAATCACATAAAAATACTAACACATTTCTGTTATTAGTTTCAATCATTATTTAAATTAGGTACCGCGTTTTTTTTCAACTGATGACTCTTTTTGTAAGAGGCTCTATAATATGATATGTTGAAACCTGTCTGGAGCAAAATGATGTTAGCCGATAAAAACGATTATTCTTCCCATTTCATTCCCGAATCTTATGTGTACTAATACTAATAAATAATACCTAACTCGAGTCTTAAAATGTCTTATTTTTGCTGCAATTTAAAAACAACTTACATTAAATTACTTATATTATGGTACATTTAAAATATTATTATATTGTATGTCTGAGACATACTTTTCAGGACTTTTCAGATGGCACTTTCGATTTTCACAATTTCACTTCGAAAAAAATATAGAGTCCATATAAAATAGCAATTGCAGTGAGAAATCACAACACTTACTGTTACTAGTAACGAATGATGCAAGAGAGACGCGTGTGTCGTGTGACGTGTGAGACGAGCCGCCGCCGCTTCCGAGCCCACACTGAGGAAAAAGCGGATGCGATAGCTTGATAAAATCTTACTTACAACTAGCATTGCCCGCGGCTTCGTCCGCGTTTCTGATGACTAAAAACCAAATTCTTAGGTTTTACATATTAGTATACTCTTACATTGCAGTTTTAGTATTTTTTCTCAGAAATGAGATAATTTCCCCGGATAACCAGCTATCACCATAGGTACCAAATTTCATCAAAATCCCTCTAGTGGTTTTTCTGTGATGCGGTAACAGACAGACAGACAGACCGACAGACAAAAATTCTAAAAACTATTAATTCGGCCTCTGTGTCGATAATAATGTTTATTTCAATAAGATTTTCCAAAAAATATTTAATATACAGATTCGGCTTAGTTTAAATTGTATTATATGTATAGACTAACTACAGCCTGCGACTCTATCCGGCCTAGCTTAAATATGAGCGAGCAAAACCGGGAGCTCGAGCTTTAATTTAATTAAAAATCTCTAAGAATTTTAGAGAGACGCGCCATGTAAAAATGTTGACTTGAATTCTATTACAATTCAAGAGAAACATATGATACCTAAACACATTTATTACAAAAATATGTAATACCTAAGTATATACATACTTTAATATTCAACTCTGATCCTTTAATCATTTAAAAAAATAATCTCTTACATTTTCTTTCTTATTAGGAGATAAATCATCTTCGTGCTTTAGGTTGGCGTTACATGGACATTTAACGGACTTATATTGAAGAGGCGAGACGAGAATGTCTCCCAACTCACTCACATCATTTTAATTATTAGTTAATAATTTATTCAATTACAATGTTACTATGTACAAACATAAATCAATATTATTTTATACGTAAGTAGTAGGCAATTCATCACGCAAGTCGGCTCGCGATATCTTGTTTTCACGTGTGATGTAATACGTGTCATTCTTTACGATATACGATACACTCAAGCGTTCGTTTCGAAGGAGTTAGAGATGTATAGAGTGATAGACATGCTTTTTCTTTTTTTATTTTATTCTAGTTTTATTAAGTTTTTTTTCTATATTTATGCTTATTTCATTATTATAATAGAGTAAGGAAGGATAGGATTTAAATGGTTGTAGATTTGCTCCTTCACTGTGATATATCCATCTATAACTGCAACTAAAATTATATTCTGATACTACTCGTATAATTGCATGAAGTTAAAGTTATGGACACATAATTGTTTTGATACAGCTAAATCGAGCGTACATGACGTGAAGCATTAAACATAATTAGTGTACTTATTAGTACAAAGTTATACCTAGTATATATAGCATCTATGAGAATTTTATTTTGTAATATGATTTATTTTGTAGATAATATAAATCCACAAACTATGTTAAAATGGATCATTTAAAAAAAATATTGTTTATATACACATATTGTTGACATATTATGTATGTTCTATGTACATACTACATTTTACCTACAAAAAAGGCTGTAAATTAATAAGTGATCTGCATTATTTCTCAATTTCTTCTCGTATCAGTTAACTAATTGTTTTTCTAGTTAAATGATACGTCATGCAATATATGTTGTTTAAAATTTGCTTTGTCATCGGACAAATCTCGTTGCTTGAATGATAAATATTTGAAACTCACGTTAGGCTGCATCTTAATCTATACATATAATAAAATTGTAAGTTAGCCGAATCTGTACATTAAATATTTTCTGGAAAATCTTATTGAAATAAACATTATTATCGATGCAGAGGCCGAATCTATAGTTTTTAGAATTTTTGTCTATCTGTCTGTCTGTCTGTCTGTTACCGCATCACAGAAACCCCACTGGAGGGATTTTGAAGAAATTTGGTATGGTGATAGCTGGTTATCAGGGTCAACATATACTATGATACTTTTTACCGCGGAAAAATATCTCATTTCTGAGAAAAAATACAAAACTGCAATGTAAGAATATACTAATATATAAAACCTAAGAATTTGGTTTTTTGTCATCTGAACGCGGGCGAAGCCGCGGGCAATGCTGGTACATATATAAAAAAAAGATAACCGCATGGTTCAATGGTTCACTACCTACATCCGTATCTAGTTGGAGGCTTGCAGGTTCGACTCCATTTATTTTAGTATTGATGGCTGCCTTAATATTTACCTTATTTATTAGGAGTAGGTACTTTTTAAAAATCAAATCATGTAGAATACCATATTTATATGGGACCTCCTATAAAGTATAGCTTATATCGTCATAATATTGAAAGTTTAAATGCAATAAATGGTACAGTGGAGACAAAAAAACTCGTGTTGCTTAAGAAAAATTGGAAAAACATAATAATATACGTTGATAATGTCCAGTGACGCTATTATCCGGTTCAAAACAGTTATTATCGGTGGATATTATAACAAACGTATTGACACAAACGTGACCTCTAACGTCAGATATTCATTTGAGAGATGGCACTGGATCATAATTATAGAATATTAAATAACATTAATTCTTATTTATTTTCTGCTCATTTTTACGTGATGAGAATAAATTGGAGCTGCGAGAGTACAGAGATTAGCAGCGCGTTTAATACTTGTATAACCACGGTGTCTCATCACGATTCACGAATAATAAAATAATTCAGTTAAATTTCAATAGATGACGTTACATGTACAGATTTGTTATTGGCGTTTGTTTAAAATCAAAGAAAAGATAGCCTCCTTTTTAAAGTTATACTTCTTTTGGGACGTTGGGTAAAAATTGTGAGTGTAAAAATTTTACGATGCGCGCGCACACTGACAGCCAAATAGAAACATGATGAAGTTAGCTGATAACTGTTTGTTGCCATGGTGACCGTTGTTATTGTATGGCAAATGGAATATTATATTCTTTCCATAAATGATATTCTATCTATACATACCTATAATAAAATTCTAACTGAGTCGAATCTGTACATTAAATTTTTTTTGGAAAATCTTATTGAAATAGACATTATTATCGATACAGAGGCCGAATTTATAGTTTTTAGAATTTTTGTCTGTCTGTCTGTCTGTCTGTCTGTTACCGCATCACGGAAAAACCACTGGAGGGATTTTGATGAAATTCGGTATGATGGTAGCTGGTTATCCGGGTCAACATATAGGATACTTTTTATTGCGAGAAAATATCTCATTTTTGAGAAAAATACAAAAACTGCATTGTAAGAGGATACTAATATGTAAAGCCTAAGAATTTGGTTTTTGGTCATCTGATCGCAGGTGGAGCCGCGGCCAATGCTAGTATCACTATAAATATGTATATGATTGTATATGCCTAATATTATCACGCTTATTTAATTATTTTATTAATTTATCATTCCTTTTACAAATAGAGAGTTGTGACATACGGGATGAAATCTTTAGCTATTTTTCTTCTGATTCGCCAAAGTATCTATAACTTCTCATATACGTACATAAGTACACACACACACTTTTTTTTGAAGTGAGTTAAGTTGAATAGATTCCAAAAAGATACCTAATATATGATGTATAATAGTATTACAAAATAATCTTTGTACAGAAAAATAAAATTATGTGTATATATTATGATAGTTAATGATAACTACAGATATATGTAGATATCAATTTTTTCTATTGTAAAATCACTAATCAGCCATTAGGTAATGAGTTAGTATTGCACATTCATAGACGGCGCTTTTTACATTTTATGAATTATTTTATTATTATTATATTTTAGCACAAACATACGTATTAAAACTCAAACAGTCTAGTCAAAGAGTATAGTAATATAATGGGAAAAGAGTGCCCTCTTGAGGATTTTTTATGCAATTCAATTTGAAACGCCATCTGCGTTTCCTAACCAAAACTAATGCTATATATAGGTAGCTATATAGCTACCTATATCTATTTATTTTACCATTGATTTATTAAGTGCTCTATTAGTGTTCCAACAAAGAAAAAACCTCTCGGCTTAGTCCTTTGTTGGAACACGATATTAGTAAAAAAGCAAAGAAAGAAATAAAATAACAATAACTGCAAGAGTAATCATTTATTGAGTAATCATATCATTATTTTATTTATTACAGAATAATTTCTATTGAACAATAATTCTTATATGTAATAATTTCATCTCATTTTTTATACTTTCATAGATTTACGCGAATATTTGACATTTTAAATAAGACTATCTTTTCGGATTTTTCGCGGATTTATTTTGATTTTTGGTTCCCGACTCTTTGAATGCTTTACTCTAAGATTTTAGACGTCTCAAAGATATACTTGTTACAGACAGTGCCTATCCACAAAATTACTGAATTCAAAAATATAAAAATGGCACCAAAGTACCTTACAATATTTGTTGAATTTATTTTACGTTTTCGAAAAGAGAATTTTATTTAAAAGGTCATTTTCTATTTTTATAATTCTTGTGCTTATTAAAATAATTTTGGGCTGCAATTTTGACCTCATCATCTTCATCTTTAACAGTTAATTTGCCGCTCAAAATACGATTGACACTTCTGCACCAACTATAAACTAAAACATTGATTGTCATATTTATAAAATATGTTTTTAATTTATTTTTATGTTCAACACACTTAAAAGGACAATCAGATAGCATGTCCAGAAACAAAACAATATTTTTCTTCAAACCTGTTTTGGGTACATTTTTTTTTAAAAAGTAGTGGTCATATTCTGGATTTCTTTGAAATACGATTCCACTTCTTTATTAGGATAGCACAGCCATTTTTTATTCATGTACTCTTTGGCATAGATATATGAATTATTGTCATTTGATATATCATTTTCAAACAATGTTTGTTTGCAATGTTAACAACCTTTTTATTATAAATTTAAGGAATCTCTTTAAAACCCATCTGCAGACATAATTGCTTTGACCAGCATCAATTTCATTGGATTGGTCAAAGCAAATTTCACTGTTAAAATGAATAGTATCATTAGTATCAGGGATATCAGGAGTTATTATGTTCTTATCTTTAAGGAAGGAGTCCAAACTTTGAAGACACTCATTGTGATCTTCTTCACAATTTGCTCTACTTGAATGGGGCTCACTATAATTATTTATTATCAAAGCCTTGAAGGTCCCCTCAAATGAGACAGTATTTGGAGCAATGTTTCTAACACCATAACTCCTGATATTCCCGAAAAAGTTTTCTATAGGGTCTTGGTTGAAATATCTTGTCAACATTGCATCAATGCCATATTTTCTAGAGCCTTTCCTTAAAACATTGTACTTTTTTTCGCAAACAAGTCTTTCCTTAAAACATTGTATGTTTATTCACAAACAACATATCTTATTACGCATGATTTTCATCTCGTAATGAAGTGGTTTCATCTGCATGCATTGATAGTTAAGCGGCACAGCTGAAAAGTATAAAATTGTTAAGTCAATAAATAGGTAGTAACGAAACTTTTGTTTTACTAGTTATTGCCAGTGCCAGTGCCAGCCAGCCACAAGAAAATGTTCTCATGGGAGTAAAAGCTCTCTGGTAACTTCTGGTTTTAACTACAGATAAGAATAATCAAGTCTATCCCAGGCTGCATGAAAGCAGGACAAAGAAAAACAAACAAACAAATCAACAATTTTTTTGATATAAAAAATAGAATATTTTATTTAAGTTTGTAAAATCTAGTTGTGGATCGACGTCATCTATCTATATTAATATTATAAAGAGGTAAAGTTTGCGAGTTGGTAACATTGTGAGTTTGTGACGTTGTAGGGGGTAATCTCTATCTACTGAACCGATTTAGATGAAATTTGGTAAGAAGGTAGTTTGAGACACTGAGAAGGGCATAGGATACTTTTTATCCTGGAAATAATCCCTTAAGGGGATGAAAGTTTCTACGGATGATGATTTGATAGATGCAGCAATCTAGTGACGAACCCGAGCGAAGCGAGAGAGAGTCGCTAGTCGTATGTAAAAGTAAATAGCCCAAATTGAGGCTGTCCAATCTATACGTAATATAATAAACATGTAACTGATCACTGTCTGTACATGGAAGATATTTGAGAAAAATTATTGGGGTTCTTTTTTAACGCAACTAGCGTCTCAACCTCGTTTCGCTCGGGTTCGTCTCTAGGTGATTCTTTAAAATGACATACATAACTTTTTTATTTGTAAACCAATTGAAATAAAACAAAATTACTTAATGTTAAGTGAAACTTACCACAATTCATTAGTGAAAACTACCACCAAATCAGTTAAGCCGTTTCTGAGATTAGCGTGCACAAACGCACAGACAAACATACAAAATTTCTAAATATCATTGCTTTAGGTGCTATCTATTCATATAAAAAAAATTGCTATACAATATTATTATATTATTAATATTGATAATAACAGATATTTGGGGAAAAGGCGCTGTATGCCGTAATACAGGTGGTTAATTCGTTCATGTACAGGTCTCCTAGTACGGCAACCGAAGTTATCAATTATCGTATCTTTTGTGTCGACACAGACTAATTTAAACGTAGCTTAAAAAAACTAAGATTATTACGTATAATAATTCATGTATGTTTGTTTTTGTATGCACTATTGTTTTAGTGTTTTATTGTTCAATAAATATTATTATTATTATATACTCTAAATAGATTAGAATGTAACTTAGCTATATTTTTCCTTTAATCCAAATTATGCTACAATAAAAGTTTTATTAAAATCTGTACAGTAGCGCTACGTATGATGTTAGAACGCGCTATAAACATGTTTTAATATAAACATTCAATATAAACATTGATATATGTTCACGTTTTACTTATTTCTCCTGCTTCCACTTATCAACGCCATGATGGATAAATAAAAGTCAAAAATATATATGAAAATGTATGTCCAAGAACACTATAAACAAGTGAATTCATTTCGATTCACAAAATATCCTTCATACATATTTATTTTAAAGAAATATGTACTTAAATTAAGTACTGACGTAACAAAAAATATTAGGTAATGTTATTTCAAACTGTTTTAATAGTTTTTTAAGAACGCTTTCCCATAATTGACAAGTATCTTCATATTATATTTCAATAAAAATTATGTACTGAATATAAATTTTAAAAATTCTTAACATACTTATAGCACATATTATTATTTTGAATATTTAAAAAAAAAATGGAAAAAATATATATTTTGAACCCTTCTAATAGATGAATTACTTATTGTAAATCCTACCCAATTTAATATGCCTATTTCACCACACTAAATACACCTGTTATTGTAATATAAGTCAGTTTTAACATATTTTTAACATACAATATACTTTATATGACAAATGACCATATTTCTTTCTTTTCCGAAATTTCAGTGACGAATGAAGCTACGGAATGATTATTTTGACAATATTAAATACTTAGTGGCTGTAAAATGGTATACTGGCATTGACACTAGTATATTAGCTAAATCTTTAGATATCGAAATTACTGTACTTTGTATAATACATACTTTCTTAGATTTACGCGAATATTTGACATTTTAAATACATAAAACTATCTTTTCGGATTATTTCACGGATTTATTTAGATTTTTGGTTCCCGACGTTTCAATAGCGCACATGGTCACGGGAGAAACTAAAGTTTTAAACATCTCAAAGGCGTTACTTACTTGTTACATACAGTGCCTACCCACAATTTCACAAAATGATTTCAAAAGATTAAAAAAAACCAGGAACCAAATATCAAAATAAATCCGCGAAAAAATCCGAAAAGGTAGTTTAATTTGAAAATTTTATTGTAAATGCCTTTTAAGTATATACATAGATTTCATTATTGTGATGTTGTATGTTATTAATATTAAATTACATAATAAAAAAATTTTTTGGCAACTACTTTTAGGTAAAAACATATTTGCAAAAATTTATCATAACGCTTTACAATATGCTTAAAACAGGAGAAGCAAAATTGTTGTATTTTCAATTTCATTTGTCAATTATGCATTTTTTCTACCTTTACACATTAAATAGGCGGTACTATATCGTGTTAGGAGTTATCTTTAAAAAGTTGCTAATGAAGTAAAAAACACAACCACTGCCTTGCATATGGAGGTTGGTGGTTCGATTTTCGCATACGATTAGTTTGCCTAAGAACATTTTCCATACCTTAGTAAGTCTTAACTTAAAAATTCCGTGCGAACAAATTAAGGCTCATCGCAATATTCCCCCTGCCATGTTTAACACAACTTATGATAAATTCTTTAAATCGTCCCGATAACTACTTACTTAATGTACGATACTATAACACATTTTATTATTTTTAAATCCCGGCACCAACATCCGAAGCGTCAATCCCGAGCATCGCCAGGTCATCTAACTCCTCCTTATTCTTAGTGGAAGCTGCGGATGCTTGATTTGCTTTTGTACTGTCCGCTGGACTCTCTGTCGTAGTCGTCGTTGGGGCCGTTTCACTTGCACTAGTCACATTAGTTGTATTTTGCTTCTGCTTTTGATTTTCATTATTATTTTTCTGTTGCCTATTCTTATTTTGGTTCTGACGAGGCTTCTGATTTGGCAGTATTGGTACGTGCGTGTCGTATAGTTGAGGTCTCGGTTGGAACAAGGGTGAGTTCATGTCGAATCCCATCATCATGTGTGGGGGATTCCCTAGAATGCTCAGTTGTGGGAAGGGCTGCATCACTCCCCCTAGCCCGGGGATTCCAGGGAATCCCGGTGGAGCCAATCCCGGGGGAAGTCCTTGGAATAACTCCTGCTGAGCTGCCATTTCTGCGTTTTTCACTTCAGACGGGAATATGATGTCCAAGGCGTCTTGGAAGTCCTTTGGTAAGTTAGCCGGTGGCGCCGTAGTAGCTCTGTAAAAAAATAATTATATAAAACTATATGATATCTTTACTAACAAGTGTTAATATTATCGTGGTCTTAAAAGTTGCCTGTTGTTATTGTTTTTATTGTAACGTCTGTATATATGTTGTAGTGAATCGTTAAAATATCCCATCTGGAGTAAAGCACTCATCAGCCCATTTAGAATAATTATGTAACAAATCGATCAGTTCATTGTTACTCCACTACTTTGACATAAAAAAGCAACAGACAGCTGACACATGCATAGCACACATATTATATGAAAAATAGTTAATTTATTAATACTAGTTTTTTATATAATAAAAATTTATAATTAAAATATTGTTCCCTATATGTTCAACGCAGAATATGCGGAGATGGTACATACTGTACGATCATGAAAAGCGCATCGTCGCCGATTTTATGAATTGTTGTGGGCATATGCCCTTTTAAGTTTATCCACCGCAAAATACGTGCAAATAATGCGCAGGCGACGGTCGTTCGTTAAACGCGCAATACAAAGTCGTCGTGTGTTTTTTTAATATCCCGACAATAAATATTTTTCTATTTGTTTGTGTATTATTGTTGACCATGTAAGTTTAAGACTTATAACCCCATGATAATAACAATTATGCAAATCATAATACTTTCTTAGATTCACGCAAATATTTGACATGTAAATAAAATTATCTTTTCGGATTATTTGCGGATTATTATTTTGACATCTAAAACCTTAGTCGTCCGTGACCATGATTGCTGTAAAGCATTGCCGACCAAAAATCAACATGATTCAGCGGAAAAATCCGAAAAGATTTTTTTTATTTACTATGTATATATATGTACAAATGATATCAATATTGTCGCGACAGTGGACAAGTGGAGCAAGCATGCTGCGTGACATACGGCGGCGGCGGCTGCGCGGGCGGCAGGAAGGCGTGCTGCAGCGGCAGCGTCGGCAGCAGCAGCGGCGGCGGCAGCTCCGCCTGCTGCCGCTCCAGCTGCGCCGACGCTATCTTCTGCTTGAACTCCGCCACCTGACACACACACACACATCTGTACATCTATACATATAATAAAATCGTAACTAAGGGGACGTAATAGGGACGAAACCGAGGGAAGCGAAGGTGAATCGCTAGTAAATATTATATACTAGCAGAACCCGCGGCTTCGCTCGCGCTAAAATTACAAAAAACTCTAAAAAGTGGATTTCATAAAAACTTTCATCCCCTATTTTACCCTCTTAACGATTAATTTCAGAAATCGCTGAAATACGTAACTCATTATTTTTGCCGTACTCAATTCATACGAAATTTCATTCAATAACATGTCCAAGGAACAAAAAGTTTCATAAAAACTTTTATCCCCTATTTCACCCCCTTTGGGGTGGAAATTATATTATTGAAGTGAAAAATCTTTTAACACATGACTTATTACATGAAAAATTATATTAAAAACAAATCCATTTAAACAGCTATTTTATTAAAATTATTACGATCAAATTATAAGTTATGAATACCAAATTAACTTTAGGCATCTCTTGGGTCTTGCATCTTTGATTTTTTAATATTTTTATGTGCGAATGCATTCCAATAACATTACCACTTGCGTAAACGTAAATTAAAACATCATTAGGGAACCTACATGTCCGAAAGAACTAATCTCGAGAGACATGTGAAGCCCACCATAAAACATTTATCCAGCAAGGTGGACTACGGCCCAATTCCTGTGGGTATGAAAGGCATTTGCCCAGCAGTGGAATGTTGAAAAGGGATGAATTATATAAAATTATTCTAAAAAATAAAACAAAGCAATTATGTACCTTTTTCTGTATTTCTGCGTCCATTTCCTCTCGTCTTTTCTTACTAGCTTCATCTTCTTCCTTTTTTTTTGAATCATCTTCCTTCTTTTCCTCTTGTTTGTTGGTGGTTTTAGCTAAATTTTTATATACTGGCATTTTACCTGTGAGGAATAATAATATATTTTTTTAATTAAATAATTTTCACCAGTGATAGGACTCTGTCAAGCCTGAGGAGTCCGACTGGATGGGTACCACCCCCTTATCTATTTATCCCGCCAAGCAACAATGATTACATTTCAATTATCACAAGCTTTCGAGTTAAAGATACCATGACGTACATGACGTAATTATAAGAGTTGCTTTTGTTTTTAAACCGTAAAAGGCCATATAAAATAGTGGCGTAAGGGCCAAATAAAATAGTTATTGCATGTAAAAATATAATACCTATGAATGGCATTTTCCGTATCTCTGGCTTCTTCGCGTCCTGGCGCTGCGGGCTGCGCCGGCTCGAGTCCCGTTCGTCCCGGCTCGAGTCCCGCCTTTCCTCTCGGCGCTCGTCCCGCCTCTCGTCCCGGCGCTCCTCCCGCCTCTCGTCCCGGCGCTCTTCCCGACGCTCTTCCCTACGGCGGGGCTCTTCGCGTCTGTCCCGCTCTTCTCTAGTGCGGGATTCTCGACGTTCTTGTTCTCTATAGAAATTGACCGTTAGTTGAAATCTTGTAAACCTTTCAGTTTTACACCGTATTTGAAGTATTTATAAGAAAGATTTAGACATTAAAATTTACAGTTTATGTATGTTTCGATATATTATGTATACAATGGGACTTCTTACCATGTGCTTATTATGTTACCAAAAACGACTTTCACTATATGTATTCAGCCCTTTTTTTAACGTCCCACTGCTGGGCACGTGCCTCCCTTCAATACGAGGGGGATCAGGCCATAGTCAACCACGCTGGCCAACTGCGGGTTGGCGGACTTTCACTATATACTAAAAATATAATTATTTATTTAGTATATAGTGAAAAGTATAATAGAGTGCTCACAGCACAAAGATCTGTTCATATATTTTTAATGTCCCATAAACAAATAAACACAACTGTTATACATGAAAGCCATCACAGACCTTTTTAGTAAGTGTAAAACTCAAACGTCAATATAATTTAAATATTAATTAACAATAATTTATTTATTGCACTACATAAAACCACAATACATGGAGTTAAATTGTAATATAGGCAAGTTGTACAAGAGAGTAAAAAATAAAAACTGCTGTCTCGTAAACTAAGCCAGAGCATGTATTTTCGGTGACAAACGTTCTGCTTTCAAAAAATTAATTAACGACTATTTAAATCAAAATTTTTTAAACCTTTATTCATAAAATTGCAACACTCTTAGAGTACAACTACTTAGTATATAGCATACAGTGTACAGACCGGGCGCGCTGCTGCGACGTGGCGGAGCGCTCGCGCTCGCGCTCGCTGGAGCGCCGCGCCGTCTCCATCTTGTCCAACTTGATCCTGTCAATTTATATATAGTCAAATTATATAAGGCTTTAAACAGTGTTTATATGATTATTATTATAGTTTCGAAAGTTTGTTTATGTGTGTGTGTGTGTGTGTGTGTGTGTGTGAGTGTGTGTGAGTGTGTGTGTGTGCGCGCGCGCTATGATGCCACACACACACACACGCACAGATAGAAACGTCATAACCAATAATGTACTAAACAAAATTTTATCTCATATATTCAATTATTTACAAATTTAATTATGATTAAAAAGCCTGATTTTCTATCATTTACCCTACTATAGCTGTATAATCCATAGTCTATGACTCTATAGTATCTCTGATATGTCGTAAGTGTCGACAAAGTCAGCTAAGCCATTATTTAGATCGTCAGTAACAAACAAAGAGGGATGGAATACCTGGTCTTGATGTTGTCGAGCAGCTTGCGGTCGTTGTCGTTGAGGCGCTCCATCTTTATGGAGGACATCCATTCGCTCAGCTTGTCGTCTGACCCGTACTTGGTTTTGCTCTTCTTGCCTGTTACATAAACATGTCACTCGAATCAATAGTCCGTTCCAGTTGTAAACATTATATCGCTTTATCCATCCGTCTTCATCCATTCGCTCGGGTTCGCCTCTAGAAAAACAAATCTATCCCACGGGAATCAGGTGAAAAATTATTCTTAAGTTTCATTACATAATTTCAATAAATGATTCGTAGTTTTTGCGTCAAAGAGTAACATACATCCATACATCTATACACTCAGACACCCATACATCCTCACACTTTCGCATTTATAATATTAGGATAGATTACAAAAAGCCGTTATAATTTACAGCAACAATAATTGATCTAAAATTATAATAGAAACATTAGTTACTTTTCTTTTTCTTCTTGGGCTCACTATCAGAACCACTGGAGCTACTGGAGGAACTGCTACTGCTGCTTCTCTTTCTCTTACTCTTCTTTTTCTTGTCTTTCTTCTTCTTCTTTTCCTCGTTTGGCGGCGGCGGGCTGTCCATTTTCAGTTTAGTATGAAAACCGTCCTTGTTGAAGGTGATAGTGTGCGCCGCGTACTGTGGCTTATCTTCGACTTTGTTCTTATTGTTGGCGCGCGCCTTCTCGAAGGCCTTCTGTCGGTCCGACATCCAGTCCGTTTCCCAGTGAGGGTTTTGTTCGACAAAGTTCTTTAACATAATAATGATTATATAATCAAGGTTATGAAATTACTTTATGTAAATGATTAGACAAGAATTCCAATCTAAAATAAACGTATCATGTAATTTTAGCATCTTGTTCGAGAAAGAGTTAATTTTTTTTTATTATAATAAATAATTGACAAGTGAAGTAAATCTGCCGAATAGCAAGGAAACCCGTAAATATTTTTAAAAAGACCAAAATTTCATTATTAGACGTTTGTAAACATAATTTTCATGAATTAAGTTGTAATTTAGCTTCAAATTGAATTCAAGTTTTAGTTTTTATTAATGATCAATATTATAATCAACACTATAAGAATAAAACATAAAATATCAATCAATACAGAAATAACAGTAATTGCTAATTAACATCTTTTTGAGGAATCAGTAGGAGGACAGTGAACCCGTTCGTTTAATTTTGATGAATTTCAGACATTATAACTAAAACAGCAGTAGTGTAGGTAGGTAAAATGGGGATGCAACTAACGGTGTAGTTCTTGGAGTGCGAGACGGACTTGAGGTGTGCGGAGGCGCAGTGCAGGTCGCCGATGAACTGGTCGCACAGCTTGCAGTACCACGCCGTCGACGGCACGAAGAACTGCAGCCCTGCACCACACACAGACACACACACATACTTCAATAGTTATTCATAAACAACTATTTTACTTATTCTTTAACTTTAACTGCCTCGGTGGTGTAGTGGCTAGCATGTACGGCTGCACACCCGGAGGTCCTGGGTTCGAGTCCCGGGTCGGGCCAAGTTTAGTTATTGAGTCTTTCTGTATAATTAAGCCTCAGTAACAGCCCGGAGTTGGGAAGTTGGCGGTGTTTCACCCCCGTGCCTCGGAGAGCACGTAAAGCCGTCGGTCCTGCGCCTTAACTCTCACTGGTCGTGTCGAGCAGTCGTCCCACCGGAATATGAGAGTGACAGGAATAGAGAGTGCACTTGTGTCTGCGCGTACACTTGTGCACTATAATATCTCCTGCGCAGTTGGCTAGTCTCAATGAGATTGGCCGCCGTGGCCGTAATCGGTCGGGAGAACATCATCATCATTTTACTTATTATAAACTCTATGATTTGTATAGATTTAAAAAAGTAGATATTTTGGAGGCAATTGCAATATGTCCCATAATTCGAACTTATTTTGTGACTTAAAAATAATAGCAATTTAGCTTAATTCATCTCATTAATAATATATACTGCTTTTGCCTGCGGTTCTAACACGTTCATTAAAAAAAAACGAAACCCTCAATCTTTATAATTCTAAAGAAATTGACGCCTGTTAATTTGTTTAATCTATTTTTAAACCTAATATAAAAAAAAAATAAGATCAATTTCAATGTATTCAAAGCAAATATAGTGGCTTATTTCCATACCTCTGATGGGCGTGCGCTTGGTGGGCGCGGACGCGTAGCTGGGGAAGCCCTCGTTGGCGCCCGCCACCGAGTGCCACGGCGCCTCCATGTGCGCCGCCGCCATCCTACGTCACATCGACACAAAATAAAACTTACTCATATATGTATACTATTATGCACATTTATACATCATTTTAACTCATTAAGGGAATGCACTTTAATGAAATAAGCGAAGAGGACGTGCGTGTAAATAGACTTTATAACAGTGTGATGTTATTAAGAACTTTAAAAGGCTTCACAACAAAATTTGTTGATACTCATTAGCTGCATTACAACATAGGATTTAGTACAGAGCAAATAGAATCAAGTCTACATAGTTAATATTAAACGTAGGTTCCATCATAATTGAAAAAATAATATGGTACATATTTTAAAAACAATTTTTCAAAAGTAATTTTTTAAAATTAAAAATGTAATATTTAAAATTTAATTTAACATCATTTTAATTATATTTACAAAATAGAATATAAAAAATATATTTGGGTCTACAGGATCTCAGGTATGTAATGTATGTATGTATGTAAATACTATAAAAAAACCGTTTTTGTAAGAGTTCCGTAGCCAAAAAGCCAAAACAGACTGTACTGTATGTCACTGGTATTTTATTCAAAGAAAAAGCTACATTGCCGATTTTTTTTGTAAGGATGCACGTTTCTCATACAAACAGCTGGACAATTACGTGAAAATAAAAAAATAGGGATGGCACTCTAAACATATAATAAAACGTTTAGGATGGTCTCTGGTTAGGTCTTCAAAATGTTGATAGATATTTATTAGTACGTTTTTTCAAACCAATAGTTGACGAGTTATGTGATTCTCAAGCCGTAAACATTGTGTTTTAAAATAGACGAAGCATTTTTAAAATCTTCTAAAGTTAGTATAGTTTCGCATACATTTGCAATTACTATAAAAAAAGCAGTAATAAAACACAACACAATCACGAAATGCAACGGTTTTTCTCCTCTGTAAACATTGTCGTTTTGACATAACATATGGACGTTTAACCGTAAAATAGTTAATACTTTGCAACTATAAAAGGTAGACTATCATCAAAACAATTATTCCACCCTTAGGAATGGAATGTTTTTTTTTTAATTTATGTTAGACCACACATAACAAAGAATTACGATGAACGTCAAAAAAAACAAATAGACAAACACAATACCTCTTGTTTTAAAATCGGTAAACAAAACATAGAGAACAGTGCACTCACTTGTGGTGCGCGGGCGAGTGCAGGTGGTTGAGGTAGTCCTTGGCGGTGGGCGGGAACTCGTTGCACACGCGGCACCAGTGCATCTCCGGGTCGTAGTACACGTAGTTGAACTTCTTGCCCGACGGCGACCTGCTGCGGATTCATTCACTCATTCATTCATTGTTATAAACAAATACAAATATTAAAAAAAAAAACGGATTTTTTCGCCGATTTATTTTATTTTCCGACGTTCCGAATGCTTTACAGCAATCACGATCACGGGAGAGATCTCCATAGTTTTATTTAAAATGACAAAATATTTTTGATGCGAAACTAAATTGAATAATTCGTAGACCGCAGTTTGAAAATGTATTACCGCACTTTATCGAGTATTTAATACGTACTTACTAATGCTATAATAAAATCAATGTTCATTATACACACAAAATTTTATTACGATATTAAATATTTATGTATCACGGTGTTTTATAAAAATGGACGATGTGTCAATTATATGCGACAAGACAATGAAATTTGATTATTTTCATTTCAATCTCTGAAAGCAATTAAATGTATAAAAATTAAAAACCGCAAACTTGGAGGAATAAAACAATTTTATTTTTCTATACATTTTTTTACTCTATTTATTCAACACTTATTGTATACAAATTATATATAATAACAATCACAATTAACAATTTTAACAAGCTCACAAATAATAATAAAATTAGAACAAAAATAAGCTATTATTGTCAATAAAGCATTACATTAGCTTACATATTTTACAAACAAACAGAGAATAAGTTGCTTCTTTTTCATTTCAAATAAAGTTGAAGATGTGGTGCCACAGCTTTATAAAACTCCTGATTCTTTGTGGAATTAAATTCACATATATACCAATAACATTTTAAATGGAAATATTCATAAAGAAACCAATCACATATATACATTACAAATGTAATAGCAAAATAAAATAAACTTCAAAGCAACATACCTAGACTTCCGTTTGGCACCGCGCTCGGTGGAATCATCAGACTCAATTACCTCCTGCGCCTCCTCCCCAATGATCCCATTCAACATGTCCACTACGTTGTTAATAGTCTTCAACTTGTTCTGGATCTCCAACTATACAAGTGCAAGGCAAATAGATGCAATTAGCTTTGGACACCATCGAAGAGTGGGGTATCCAAAAGCACTTACAACTAATATTTAATTCATTTTAGAGCTAGCATTAAGAAAAATTATAGATAACATATTTCATTAATCAAACCTGCAGCTTAGTGTTTTCTTTCAAAAACCGTTTGGTGTCCGGGCTCGGCGAACGTTTCGCGTCGCCTCGGAGCTCGTTCCGTTGATCTTTCAATGTGTCGAGTTCCTTTTTCAAAATTCCCGCTTTTTTAATGTAGTCTTCTCTCTGCTTCGATAGAGCAGCTTTTTGGTGACGCATTTCTGTTTCAATGGCGGCTGTGATAAAAAGTAAATGATTATAACATATGTCATAAGTGAAATTAAAGTGTAATATTACTTAATTTTCCATAAATTAAGTTATTGAGTAATATTACACTTAAAAATAGCAAATTCAATATTCTAAAGTAGCCAGTTGATAAAATTTTAAAGAAAAAAATTGATTAGTCATTAAACCTTCCAGTTGTTGACGGGCCAAGTATTACTGGTGTGTAAAAGATATGACAAACAATTTAACATTGGAATATTTTTGTTTACTTTTGTGGATAGAAACAGTTGACTCTTGAATATCCTCCTGAAAAAAATCTTAATAACGAGAACTAAAGCTCACCTTATCCCAAAATTTTAAGCAACACACAAATAGTAAATTAATTTAAACATATATAAAATAATATTTCACAAAACAATTATTTTTTTAATAATAATAGTAAGCCTTACATAAAATAAATAGTCACACAGAAGCATTATACTTTTTTAATATTATTTCTCAAGACATGCATTAACATTTGACAGTATTGATAAAATTAAAGTTTCCTGTTAGTAAATAATATACAATCGTTATATAACATATAAAAAGCATTAAAAGTAACAAACCATATTACTTATGTCATGAAATATCTCAAATAATATTTCATTAAATTCAGCTTCTGAAAAGAAAACATTATTATATAACATTATTATTATTAGAAATATATACCTTCTTTTTTAATCTGTTCCTCAACATTGTAGACTGGTGGAGCAGGTGGTGGTGGTAGAGACATTTGATTCCATGAGGCCATGTCCGGTGGATGTGGTGCTGCCGGCACCACAGATGGGAACTCATTGTATATGCCGGAATATGATTGGTTGTAGTTGCCACCATAATTGGAACCCTGAACAAACAGATGAACTTAAATTACCTAGTGTTTGCTAGAATAAGCCAGCTTAGATGCACTAATAACATTGGTAACCCACCAATTATTACTAATAACACTAATGTCAATATAATATTTTTAAACACTTTATTCTATTATAAGTAAAGCAACTCATTTAAAATATTACTTCTTGGGGGAATGTAGGCGCTGGTGGAGCAGTGAATCCACCTTCTTGCATCTGGCTATCCCATAGTTCACTTGGTTCCGGTAGCTTTGCTATCTCACTTAGAATGTTTTCGTCGAGCACATCTTTGTCATTTTTTCGCGGTGAGCGGCTTCGTCGTTTATTTTCTCTAGGAGGCGGACTTCGGCTTCTTTTTCTGGATGGGGAATGCCGCTTTTCATAGTGATAATCGTTTCGGTTCCATTCCCGGTCACGGTCACGATCGCGATCGCGATCACGTTCGCGTTCGCGGTCTCGCTCCCTATCACGACTATAAAATCGTTTACGGCTATACTCATGTGACATTTCAATACTTTTTCTCGTGATTTATCTGATTAATTAATAATATAAAACTTTGGCATAAAATACCTAAACAAATAAAATGGCACCGAAAATACACGCTATGTTGAATGACATTGACAGTTGTTTCGCGCCGGTGACGGATTCATTTGTCATCCTTATGTAGGGTAGAACTAAGGAGAACAATCTCACGTATAAAACGTGCCGCTAACAAGCATTAGTGCTACAGAAAATAAGTAGATGAATTAAAACAGCGCCAAAAACCATAAAAGTAAGATGACCAATTAAACAAGGAAAGAAAGCTTTCCGCTTTGTTGTGACGCACTTTTTAAAATAGTTCTAACATAGACAAACACCGATATAGAATATAATTATACTCGTAATAACATATTATTTTCAAGTCCATAGTAATTATAATTCAGCACACTTCACTCCGTTTAAAACTGCTAACTTCGCATCACATCTACTTGCTACGCTAGCGCTATATCGGTGAGTTTCTGAATCATAATTTGCTGCTCAGCACTGGAGACTTTTTCAAATTATTTCCTATATAAGTTGGTTATCCTTAGCTCTACCCTTAGAGTATACATATGCTATGTATACTCTAAGGTTCTACCCTATAAAGTCATCCATGGTTACTATGGAGGGTTTACCCTCCATAATGGTTACGGATTTTATTTTTCATCCATGGTTACGAATGAGAGGAGTAATGACACAGGTATTAAACAAATGGAAATATAAGTATCTTTGTTTATTTTGAATTTAACGTAATTATAAATAATGATTTTTAATAAATAAAAAAGGATTATTTACATATTTTTATTTAAGTTTGGTATATTATTTCACAATTTCTTTTAAAGTAATTAATTAATGGTTTCCGCCCTACTTTCCTCTAAAAATATTTGTGTTGTTCTCAATATGTGCTCTGAATTTACAACAGGCGTAGAATGAACGTTTACAAATAAATCTGTCTCATACTAAAGACAGATTCTCCGTCTATGTAAATGTATTAATTATAATATTCATGAAAGATATGCAATCACTAATTAGTTGATAGACATATCTTTTATTCCTCACCAATATTTTTTACTAGTACTAATTTATTTTCTACCGTTACGACATACCTACTAGGGATCAACGTATTTAACAATATTTTGTATTACTATAAATAATAATCCAGTGACCCTTTTAATCAATTAAGTGTTAGAAAACTAAAAAAACGAAAAGCCACATAGAAACCAATAAATATTTATTGGTTTCTATGTGGCTTTTGTTGCTTTTGATGGGATTCTATTGGAGTTTTTCAACAGGTGTAGTGAGCGACTCACCCTCGCTTCGCTCGGGTTCGTTCGTCCCTAACTTGCTTCCCCATACAAACTTTCATCCCCATTTGCATCCCTTTAATTAAGGAATGATTCCCGAGATAAAAACTATTTCATTCACTCTTCATAAGATTTGAAAAATACCTTATTTTAGTAATAAAAAATCTTTAAATTTCTTCTATACAAAACTTGTCTTGAAAAACAAACAAAAAAAAAAGAATTATCCAATTCAGTGTAGTCGATCGGAAGTTATGCGCGTTGTATACATTTCGGTGATTAATTTTTATATAAATAGATGTAAGGTAATATGTTTAGATGTATAATGTACATCTAAACAATATACAGGTTGGATTCATGCAACAATACAATATCACAAGTATCATTAATAATAAATAAAAACTTTTTAACAAAAAATAAAAACCGACTTCCAGGCACTAAAATGTAAAAAATAACTAAACGGAGGTTTTCATTTAGAATAGATACCTAATCAGATATTTTCGAAGCCGGTGCCAGCCGATGCAAAGCAAATCTAATATATTTCGATACGTAAAATACATATTTACCTATTAGATATTCATATCTTAAAATATTTTAGGCTGGCACCGACTTCGAAAATATCTGATCTCCCGTCTATTTAAAAATATACGAGTCAGCGACTTCTTGAGAGACCGCGTTACTTATACTAAACAGCAGTTTATTCGTTTACTTATGCCTAATTGCTCTGCTATAAGCGTGGAGCAATAAATAGGCTACAAAATGAATGTAAGTTTCAATTATAACATACCAACAAAAATCAATCTCTTTCGCTTCATAGTATTCTTACAGATAGTATAGGATTGCAAAATAGCGAGCTCAGTTTGAACGAACAATGTAAATTCAACGATTCAATAACGACTTAGAAAGCGGTTACACAATGATATGTATTACCTACGTATGTTTTGTTCAATTTTCAGACGAGTCCTACCAAATCCTTCATACACGAAAACAATTTTATAGACTAGCTATTTAACATAATCACTTTAATGAATAATCCAGGCATTTTTTTAATTACATATTATTTGAAATTTTATAAAAAAAATTACAAATTCTTACAAAATCGCTTTTCAAGCACTAATTTGCTTCTGAATGGCAGATTTATATTGACAAACAAAATTTGAAATGATGAAACGGTCAAAGGCATTAGTTAAACCAACTGTATCGCGATTTCAGAATCCTAAGCGTTAAGCACTTACCTTCAACTTTGTGTACATTGCAGTTTATTTTTCTTTAAGGAAGTTAGTGGAGACGGGTCGTTGCACTTATGGCGGGGAAGCAAAACTGCGGCGGCGGTTGAAGCGCTGCCATTATCGCGTGGTCGTAGACTACGCATGCGCGGATAGTTCGTAACGGCGCGAAAAATATATTTTTTGTAACTTACGTCAAAATAATATAGATAACATAAAAGACATCTAAATTTAATTACAATAAATAAATAAAAAATATTTTAATAAAGTGATTGTGCTGGATAAAACTACAAATACATCACAATGAAATATAAGGTATGTTTAAAAAAAAAGCGGGTAGGTGAAATAAATTTTTAAAACGTTTTAAAACAAATTTATTCGAAATTGTATTGTTTTTTTTTAAATTAGTAGAATTTGTCACAACTTCTAATACTTTTGTATATTTTAATTTTAAATCAATATTTTAAATAAAAGAGAATATTTGAATAATTATTTTAATATAATCAATAAATCAATTAACTTTCATAAAAATAGGTAAGCAGTATAATTCATCTCAGTAATTATTATCAGAAAACTGTCCGCAGAACCTTGAGTGCGACTTGAAGCACGTAAAATCTTAAGTGTCATTTTATCTATATTTAATATTATAAAAAGGCAGAGTTTGTTTGTTTGAACGCGCTAATCTCAGGAACTAATAGCCCGAATTGCAAAATTATTTTTGCATTAGATAGCCCGTTTAATGAGGAAGGCTATATAATATCATATTTAAAAGTATAGTCTATCTATGCCATATTAATCTTTAAAACGTACCTAGGGATGAACCCTAGCAAAGCGTGCGAATCGCTAGTATTTTATATATGTAGCAATATACTCTATGGCTAGTATAAAAAAAATAACAAATTAAAATGGTAAGTAGTTTAATTGTCAATTTATAATTATATGTATTTAGATTATAAATTAGTTGTTTCTTTAAATATTTGTGATAATTTTGTAAATTGGCTAGGTTTATGGTTATTGCGTCCTTGTAGCAGTCATAAATTAGTTTTCATCACAACTGTACCGAAACAATGGGATCAAATATTTTGGAACAAGAGTTGGTCACATTTAATATTATTGTAACAATGAATCGCTTGTTAATTGATATAGAGGGTATTCGGAAAAAGTAATGTCAATTGAACGTTGCCATTATTTTATCAATTAAATTAAGTATTATTGCTATTACTGATAAATAAAGAAAATAGGATAATAATTAAGGTACTTATTAAATGATGAACCTGATTATTTTACAACTCCTTGAATTAAGGTTGTTCTTAACAAGTCATTGATTATACCTATTATAATTTGTCACAAACCTTTACAACGTAAAAACTTTGATCAACAATTATTGTTATATACTTATTGATCGAAGTGTAACAATTTAAAAAATGATTTAAATACTTTATCTTATAGAAATCTCGCGGCTCCTACCTTATTTACGAGAGATTATAATTTTATTTTATTTTTAATAATAATAATTACTATTATCTTTTTTTTTAATATTATTAAAATGAACTTAACTAAGACACTACTCTTAACTAAAAACACGGAAGAAATATTATTTAAAGAGTTTTTATATTTTATTAAAGCATTTATAAGCCTACTTAATAATATATATAAAATAATACAGCCTAATCTATGCATAATATTTACTCGTAGGTACTCAGTGAGCTTAGACCGGGCTTCAAAAAATAAAATAATATAGCAGAACTCAGAAGTACGTACCAATATGAATTAATTATATTTCCATAAATAAATTGTGTTCTAAATATATAAATATAGATTATGATTCAATAGGTACTCTTTAGTCTCTCACTAGAAAATCATAAAATCATTTTTTGATTTTCGATGTTTAACTGAAGACAATAAATAGGTATCTAATCATAAATAATCTAAAAATAAATATATATTTTTTTAAATGTTTGGCAACTTGTGGTAAGTAGGTACTCAAAGATAAACGGATATGTTCAAACGCTTATTAAAGTAGTAGGTTGCTTCTATAGGTATTATTAAACCTTGTTAATTAATTTTCAACGCGGCCTATTTTTAGTTGCGTTGCGTCAGTCAGACCATCTTCATTATATTTTAATGTCATTATGCTGCCTATATAAATATATGTAGATATTAGATAAATAGTTTAAACGTTAAGTTAAGAGTAAAATAAAAAATCTTTCTTGTGAAATATTTATCTTGATTCTTGCATACATTGAAAATAGGTAAACTATCTGACCGGTTCCAAAAATAAAAAGGTTATACATTTGACCGATTGGTGTTTTTTGTTTACGTGAGTCAATACGGTTTTAATTGCGGTATCCAATTGCGAAGTTTAGCAGAACTCATAAAGTTATAATATACTTATGTATATGTATGTATACTTATAACAACATAAGTATGAGTAGGTACCTACGCTTTATCTAATAGCTTTATCCTGCGATATAGCAGCATCCTACCCCAGATTAGGGTGCTTCTTTTAATTTACGAGTCTTACAATCACTTTAATTTTTTTAGGGGTTGAATTAAAAAAAAATACTTTTTAATGTAGTTTCACTAAGTCAGTATCAGTTTAATTAATTAAGACACAAGAACTACATCCCGTCAAGTTTAGTGGTATGGTCTTGGCGATGAGGAATATTTTATATTTGTTAAAATTCGTAACTTTCGTCATAGAATACGTATATAATAAAATTCTATCTGAGACGAATCTGTACAATGAATATTTTTTGGAAAATCTTATTGAATCCGCCGAATCTATAGTTTTTGGAATTTCTGTCTATCTGTCTGTCTGGGAACGCATCACGAGAAAACAGCTTGTCAGATTTTGAAGAAATTGATGATAATAGCTGTTAATCCGGTTCAACATACATATTATAGGATACTTTTTACTGTTTCTATTATTTATTATATGTATTAGATTATTACCTAATCTCTGCTAACCGGTAAAACATCCCGAGGGACGAACCTGTGCGGAGCGAGAGTGAGTCGCTAGTATAATATAAAATAAGTGTAAGAGTGAGACACGGTGACAAATATATGAATGTCATAATAGACTATAGATAGGTATTACATACATCAATTCACCATCCCTTAAAATTCTATGTTTTATCTTTATCGAAAGTTGGTAATAGAAAATAATACTTAGTTGCTTCTCAGTAAAAAAACAAAGTAAAGATGCAAGTCTAGATCTACAAAGGCGATGTCAAAGTTCAGAGGTGCATATTCAGGTTAACATTTCCGTACTTTCGCTAATAATGCTTTATCAGTGACCCAATCGGTAACCGTTAAATTTCGTTCACATGCACCGCATCGCATCACATGTACTTTCATTAGGTTAACTGCAAACCATTACAATTTACATTATAGATTAAAATATTAATATTTTACAGTGCGATCTATTCTTAGAAAATTTAAACTTATTTTAATTCAAAACTGTAATCCACAGAATATATACATTATGTTTGTAGAGATACAAGCGACGTATCACTCGCGCTAGGATTATGAAATTCGTTTAGATAATAGTTTATGTAGTTATCTTGGTTGAGTACCAAGACCTAAGAAAAGATTTTGGAAGTTTAAATGTAAAGAGACTAATGGCCGATTTCACCAACGTCACCTAAGTTTAAGGGATCCCCTAAGCATGGTTAGGGGGCTGTTAGGGGACAGTTTCTGTTTCACCGACAGTTAGGGGTCACCTAAAAAAATGCCATCTAAATATAGGTACTAGAAATACAGGCTCTGACGATGGTAAACGAAATTTAATTTAGGGGCTAGTATAGGGGGAACTTTTAAGCTAGGGATCCCATACGTAGGTGGTAGCTTATGGGATGTTGGTGAAATCGGGCATAAATCACGCATGTTTGTAAAAGTCCACCGGCAAAAGGGATGTTAGAAACACTAAGATTGAATCTTGCGTTTTTGAAGTCGCGGATAACACTTAGTATCTCGCTTCGCTCAGGCTAACTACACCCCGCATGTTATTTATTTACGAACTTAACAAACGTATTATTTGCTTCATCTGTTTGATAAACCTGTTCCTTCCTCTCCTTATTTTAGTCTAGTTCTAGTCCTACCTTCGGGATATTTTACTGCTTCCTAGGGAAAATAAGTTACTTGTACCTACCTACAAAATATATCAAAAATATGGTAACCATTTTTAATGTTTGATTTTCCTAATGTTTAAGAGATATCGCGCTGCATATTATTAGTAATTAGTACTTTTAATAACCCTGTTACATACAAACAATACATTATTCACACAATGCACCCGTGCATAGTGTTTGACTCTCGTGCGTGTTTCCTCGAAGATAGCGCATCAGTTTAAAGTTAAACTGGGTCATCAACGACAAAAAAACTAACGTGTTAATGTAAAACTGCCTATCGTATCATCAAAAATATGTATATGCAGAATGTCTGTGCACAGACTGTGTATATATTTCATATATGAACATATAGGTAAATAATATAATTATAAATAACTAACTTCTTCGACTGAAATACATATATTTGTTTCTCATAATATCACTTATAGTGTACATACTTTGTACATTGTACATATATATTTACTAATATTAGTTATAAAAGTGAGAAAGTGTTTTTATTGTGTTTATCGGCTTGTGTCGTTCTGTCACTCAATCTGTGGGCAACGGATTGTCGTAATTTTACAACAAGATCCCAGAAAATGTTCAAAACGTTTCTATCACCTAATTAAAAAAAAATGTTAAAGAACGTTTGTGTGCTAAAGGTTAATGATTTTACAGAAGATGGCACGCCTTAGGAACGAAGAGATCGCCTCCAGGATACTTCAACTTTATAGAATTATTGTAAATTATAATTTAACTTAGAGAAAAGATAAAGTAATAATATTAGTCCCGCTGACTTTATTTCACCAGTTCTTCTCACGTCTGAGGCTTCTTTACAAACTGGTAGTTAGACTTATGAACTTCAGCAAAAAAAGATATAATTTAATGCTGAATGAAATATTTTAAATTTGAATTTAAAAAATAGATGGCTTAATTTTAAAACATAGATTTTAGATTTATCATATGACATCTTAAGACATTTATAAATTGAGAAGTAAGCGTTTTTTAGAAGCTCGGTCAAAACAAAACTTGAAATAATAATTACCTGCCATTTTCAATACAATATAACTTTGTTATTGTTAAGAAAACTTAATTTCAAACTTTATAATACTCCAAACAATGCACGAAGTAAAAGCTCGTGGCCTTGTTTAAAGGATGCGCTTGTCAGATCGAAGTGGCAATTGCACTATAATCTATTATGGT